AAGGATCTGTTTTCTGTGCTCACCCATTCCTAATTGAGCAGAGGAGCTGCTGGCCCAGCACTCTCTTGTGCTGTCTGACATGCCTGTCATCCATGGTATATATATTGTGCAGCACAGCTTCCGTATATGACCAGGAATTGCAGACTCTGGGGAAACCCTCAAAGTAATCAGTCTTGCAATTATACTCACTGTATACAGTTCATAGCTTCTTTGGTCAGGGAAAGGAGAAGTGATTGCATTCTTTTTTTAACCTGTTTAAAGTTTGAGTTCAGTATGATCATAACACTACATACTTCAAAACATTAAGTACAACCACCACAAAAACTTTAGCTGATGTATTAATTTAGGTGGATTCATTGGGCATTCAGGAAAATGTAAGCACTCTCCCAAATGTAATGCCATTCAGGTTTTTTGGAGAGTATTTTCCTTTTGCTTAAAAGCAGTATTCTGTTTAAAATTAATGTTGTTTTTTATTAGATTGTGGTCAGTTTTTGGCTTTTGTAAGGTGGTTATCTGTGAACATGTTATAATTCACAGATGCTTTTTTTCTGCATTTTGCAGGATTCTCCCCACGCTGTGTTGTTAGCCCTTGTCCAGTGGTTCTGTCACTCTCTGAAAACACTGTCACGGTTTGAGAACACGTGAATTTCACCAGACATGTTGAGACCGTTTCCTTGTGCTGTGGGCCATTATAAATTTATACCCTGTTTGGAAGAGGCTAAAAATACACCAGGCTGATGCTCTGCAGAATGTTGTCCTTAAGGTGGTAAGAGACATCCCAGATTTTCCTTGGGCTGCCTCCCCTAAGCATCTTACTTCAGACTGTATCCCAGAAGCCAGGGTCTCAATTTGTCACTGTCAGATTTTGTAGCCTAATCGTCTCCCAATAAATGCAATGTAGAAAAGAATGGTAATGAGACATGTCAGTCTGACATTAGTCCGTGACTTTTACTTCTTGTGATGGGTTCGGCTATCCAATGTTTCCAAATTTTCAGACATTCATGAGTTTGCCTTATGAGGTTATACTGTATAGAGTTTCTCGCTGTCCATTCTCTTTCCCCAGAATTTTTTTTTTGCAATTCAAGAGTGCAGTCCTTTTTAACTACCATTAAAGGGTTCAAATCCTAATCGTGCACCATGAAGTACTCATTTCAGGATGAATTAGGAAAACAACATTGGTAAAAGAACATATTCTTGTTGAAAAGTGGTAAGATTGCCCACGTTTTCCAGACTAATAGGATATGATTACTAGATAGCTATGCAAGGTTAGGGTTCTGTTCATAGGAAGGAAAGAAAAAAAGTATAATTCAAAGCAAGGGTGAGAGTGGATATGGCAAAGCTGTTAATGTTTTGTTGTTCTCCATCATTACATTTGTGAACATACTGTATAAATACTAGATGGAAACAAAACTTTTTTACCATGGTGCAGCAGTATTAAAGAGGACTGTAATTAAAACTCGTTACTATTTTTTTTCTAGTTTCCTGGTTTCTGCTAGGAAGAATGGAGAAGGGAGTTTTCACATCTGTTTAATTCTTCCCTCCCATATTAAAGGGTTCCATATGTTCAGAGCAATTTATTTTCCCATTTAGTTTTGTAGCCTAATGAAGATGTATAACAAAGCCCAGAAAAAAGTCCTGCTGGCATATTTAATACTAGCATATACAGTATTTGGTTCATTTCTGTACTTTCCATAGTGGAGTTTGAAGTTTTATTTCTATATACAGGGATGTACAGTATATTTGAGTTGTACTGAGTATACAGCCTTATTTACGATGCAGTGATTTTTAGAGAGGGAAATTAGGTTGCTGTACATCTATACAAATTCAGCATAACATTATGTCTTCATAAAATAACTGATTTAATAGCCGTAAATGGGGCTGTGAATCATTAATTGTGTTAATGCTCGACAAATGCATGTTTTAACATTGTCCAGAAGAGTTAAAATTGTAAAAAAATACATTGAGCTCAATAGTTAATGACTTTCTGTTCATAACACTTAAGCGATTTTTTAATCTAGCTGGCTACTAGGCTAAACGGTTTAGTTTAGTTTCGTTTTACAGAAGGGTGTTATTTGCTGTAGATATGGGAATGGTTAAGGTCAGTAGCAGATTTTATCTCTGCTTTTCACATCTCACCTGATGAGAAATACAGGAAGAACATGAGTGACCATGCAGTTTGTCCCTGTGAAGTAAGACTCTAATAGTTATTTGTGGGAAATGCAGATTGTTCAGAATCAGGTATAGGCAGCAGCACTGCAGGAAAAACCTGATCAATAACTGAAACACAGCTCAAGAAAGAGCTGCAGGGGTGAGAGATGTGAGTTTTGCAGCTGCTAAAAAAGGTACCCATGTTTCTCAGAGCTTTATATAGGCACTGGGAAATGGAGGATTAACAGAAATGTATTTCTTTATTTTACAAGGTACTGGCATAATATACATGCGGTGAACTTTACTTGTCATAATTTTCAAAAAGACACCAGAATTTGAATGTTGGGCTAAAAGAAAATTTATTAGGGAAGAGAATGCTTTGTTGGACTGTTTGTGACATTAAGATATATTTGGTTCTTTTTAAGTGCATTATGGTTATATGGCATATTAGTGCTTCTCTTCACGAACCTAGAATGCTTTCATATGTCCTGTTATGTTTTTATTCTTATATAGCTCCTTTCAGTCAAGAGGCACTTTAAATAAATTATATATTCAGGATATGACCGATATGACCTTCACTGCATGCACATTCCATTAGCATCCTGCAAAATAAAGCAATTAAAAAAAATTAAGCATGGTTGCAATAATTTAAGAAAAAGATAAATACTGTAACTATTCCATTATGGCAGTCTGTAATGCAGCCCAGTTCTTGTGTTAGATATATACAGCATAACTTTATATATACAGTATTCAAATATTTCTATTTGAATATTCTATATTTATAATTTAATTGGCTCTGATGACTTGGTAGTCACGCAGTCTGTATGATTGATTAGTACTGTACTTGTCAGCACAAATGGAGGTGCACAGTGGATGAATCTGTCGAAGAGAAGAGAATCAAAATTAGATTCTGGGGCCTAGTGAGTGGCTCAGTTGGTAAACAAGTGCACACCTCAATGTAGGCTGAGATCTGTGATCACGAGTTCAAGACTTGGTCGTGTTGCCAGTCAGATGTGAGATGGATTCCCCAAACAATAGCACACAACTGGCTGAATGCCACTAATGGTAAGGCATCTATTGGCCAGGGCTCCAGGCTCACAGTGACTCCTGTGGCCTTCTGGGCAGCTGCAGTTATGCAGTGCTGTTGGTGAAGGGCGCTCCTCTCCTCAGTACTGAACCACTGGTACGGAGCTGTGTTGAATGTCATGTATTAAGAGATGATGGGCAGGTCAGAGGAATGAGTGTACTGTACATGGACACAGGGCTCATCAGCACTGAGATGTGGTGAAAAACACACAACTGGCGAGTTGGAATTGGGGTAGTATAATCAAATAATTATTGGCAATTGTGAATTTCAAAAGTAACCCCTGCTTTTAATTGGTAGAAGCTGTCCATTTTACAGGAAAATGCATTTTGGAAAAAAAATGAAAAGTTGGAAGTCAAAGATATATACAAGCCACTTTCATTTTATTTCAGACAGCAGTGGTGACTTTCTTTTGTTTGACCTGGAGGTCATTAGAGAAAGAACAGCCACACTGGAAAACTCTGTGGGTGTAAAATCACCTGAAGAACAGACAAATTGTTCAGTGTCAGGAAGCGAGGTCCCTCTAAGCAATACTGACAGACTTTCTGAGTCCCTCTCATGAGCAGACATGTCAGCCCCGGCCGTACTGTAAGCTGTCGAACCCCTGTGAAAACCGACATGAGCAAGTGGAAGAGACAGGCAGTGTAGGGGAAACCCCGGAGAGGGAATTTCTAGAGTCTGCCCCCAGCTGGGACACCGTGACGGTGCAAACAAGTCCGGCTGAGTTCTCTGTGATCTTCCCTTGCAGTCAATAATAGCAGGAGTGTCAGAGGATACATCAATATTAATATTCTAACACCCTGCTGGCTGTCATCTTTCTAAAGTGTATTATAATAAAGGAAGTGACCCCAGGATATACAGAAGACTGACATTTATGATTGTATACACTCAGGACAAATCTGTTAATCTGCCATTCATATATAATAATGGGAGTTTGCAGAGTACTGTGATTTTCTTGTATGCATTTTTCTTGCAAATGATCATTTTCATGTTTGTTCCAACTTCTACAAACGGATAAGAAGATATCAGGCTAAGAAGCTTTGATGAGACTGTTGAGATCCTCAAAACTCATGTGGTTCATACGCCTTTTTAATTTTCTTATGAGACACTTAATTGATCTGGAAGGTTTTTCATTACTGTATCTGTTAAAATACAAAACATTGCATTCAAACTTTAACAGCTTTCACTTTGCTGCGTAGTTGAGATTTCACCCTAAAGTAATTATACAACTTGTGACCCTCTAAACACTGGTGCTTGCTCTCTTGCTTAAGGAATATACATGTAACTGTTTTGCCTCTTTAATCACACACAAGTGATTAATTTTGCTTAGCCAGCACTCACATTTACTAATTCCCATACCGAAATTATCTTTGATGCCTATATTTCTGATTAATTTGTGCTCCGCATTACCTACTACTAAGCTTACAGATTCTAAGTCCAGTCAGAAATATCCAACTAAAATGGAACAGAGATGCACCTCCTATATACTGTAATACAAAGAACCTTTTAAACCTTTGAAATTATTTTCACTGCCATCTGGTGTTCAAAAAGAGACGTTACTGTTTTTATGTAAAGCCTGCAAAGCAATGGGTGTTGCCTGTAGAGTCAGCAAAGAAATCTTACTGTTTCAAATAATTTAAAATCTGTATTTTTTCAGTGTTCATTTACATATCATGATATGCTAAACAATCCGGGGCCATTCCAGACTGTGCAAATGTCAGCTGTTTTGTCTGAACTATTTAACATTAACCTGAGATTTTTGTGGTAGGATCCTCCGGCTCTGACTCTTTTGAAAAAGGAAATAACAGAGTTCTGGCCGACCACAGAGAAACACCTCAGCAACAGCCTGGAAGATAACTCACATTCAGTCCCTGGTAAGCTTGCATAAGCCATATTCAATGTCCTGATGCTTTGTTCGGTACATAAGTATCTTCAGCATAACCTCATAGCTCTTAAGACAGAAGATCTGCCACGGACAAGGACTTGTCCATCATCAGAAGTTTTATCAGAATGTACTGGTTGTAGTTACTCATAGTCATCAGGATAGAACCATGCTGCCTACAGCCTACACAGCCACTTTCCCCTTTTGTTCTGTATTATTTTAACATGCTGAATGAACAAACATAAAGAAAGGACTCAACTGCAAAAAAAAAAACAATTACAAAAAACACAAAGTTTCACAAAGTAACAGTTTTTATAAATTATCATTGGTGGCCTCAAGGAAAATTCTGCACTATTCCATTTCTAATAATATAAAATAAACATATTTTGCTGTTATCATCTGTGAAATCATCATTTCTATTTTTACAGTGTAGTGCAAAATAGTCTTTTAATATTTTTCAAAATAAAAGAAGTTAAAGTTATCTGTTTGAAAAGTTGTGGAGTGTACACAGTTCCAGAATAAATGTAATATTGTTTCCATGGAATGATTACAGAACGTAGTTAAAATCAAAATCAATATATGTTTTTTTCAGTTGCTTTTAACACTTATGCATGTTTTTATATTTCATCTCTATAATGATTTTCATTTTTACACATAGGATCGATATATTCTCCATTGGATGTTTATCTTCACTAAAATGCAAAATTCACTTGCTAAGTTTCTCATGTTTCTTCTTAGCACAGTAAAGACATAGTGCTTCAATTCAGAGTCCTATTGTTTTCTCTATAGTTCGGTCTTTGATAAAAATTAGGGCTCTGATTGAGGAAATTAGGTTTAGAAACTACCAAGCTCACTGGGCCTCCTGAGTGGCTCAGCTTGTAATGGTACTCAAACTTGCAGAAGCTGAGCCATGTGATCACTGGTTCAGGTCCGACTGATGTCAGTAAACTAGTCTATCCCAGACTGTTGGGAGTCCTGCCAAGGATAGGCTTGGATAGTCAGGTAGGGCTTTCTCACCTGCCCTCGACACAGCGACCTCGCAGTGCTGTCTGTAAGGGCCTGAACACACGAAGCAGTCGGAGGATTCTGCACACAGTACATTGTCATCCTTCACCCCTCTCTGTGTCTGTATTTTGTATCTGTAAGATGAGACATGAAAAAAAAACTGTTAGCTACTCCAATTCAGGCGATTATATCACATACACAGTAACTGGCATTTTTTAATTAGAAATAAAATAATTACTGCAGGTGTTTTGTGTGCACCGTCCATGGTGACCACTGGCTTTCTCCATGTGGTGCAAATGTACCAGGATCACTATTAGTAATCTACCATTTGTAATGGTACACACTAAGGCAACGATGACATTAATAACAGTCATAATGGAAGAAGGGAACAGTGTAACAGAAAACAATACTGATTATTTCTGAAACTGTCTAACTGTCTGAGATATTTTATTGGTTACTATACATTTCATGAAGTCAATAATTTGAGTATTCCATTGTAAATGGTCTAAAAAATCCTATGTCTAAAAATGTAATTAAATTAATTGTTCAATTGGCTACTCCGGTTGGAAAACAACAGAAGACACTAGGCCATCCAGAAACATAGTTAGATACTGCTCTAGAACAACATATGTTACATATGTATGCCTAACATCTGTGTGTGCAGGGGCAGAAAATCACACTGTTTCAATCTTGTCCTGCTGTTCTCTCTCAGACTTGGTGAGGAGCCTCTGAAACGAGCGAAATGGCCAGCAACAATACAGCAAGCATTGCCCAAGCCAGGAAACTGGTGGAGCAGCTCAAAATGGAGGCCAACATTGACAGGATAAAGGTGAACAAGAAAAGAAATCAATCCCTTACTGTAAATACCAGACAAATCCCCAAAAGTACCATTTTGAAATAATGAAGGTGCTGCGTCCATGTAGGATGATCAGAATGATAAGAATGCCTGGAATGCATTTAACGGTTTTAGGCAGACAAGATCATAGTGGGAAAACGGCTTAAGACAGAAAAATATGGGAAATGTTCAACAATTTACTGCAGCTCTTGTAATTTCAACTTAACTGAGCTTCTTAATTGCAGTATTAACGTTTTCCAGCAGGTTTAGTCTACCACAACTTTCTACAACTTTTTATATACATTACCTGCTCTACTCAAATTTCTGCTAAAGCTACAGTATATTTCTTAAGGTAGATAACGGAAATAAGCCCATATATGGGGGGGTCTTCCAGCTTGTCTGACATGATCTCTGACCTTGTCTGACTAATAGTTTGACACCCAGTAACATTTGCTTCTGCTACGTGTTTGGGTCGTGGTACTCCTGCATTCTTTCTCTGTGAAGTCCTAAATTTGTACCTCATAATTCGATTTAAATCTTTAACCTTGAGCTACACACCCACATGAGTGTTCTTCTTACTTATGGGAGCTTGCAAATTAAGTCTGACAGGGTGCACAGACATCCTGATGCAGGTCAAAATATCCTGTTCATGTCAGTTGTCATGCCATGACCAGTTCTTTAACCTATCTTTTCGATTTTCAGGTGTCCAAAGCGGCAGCAGATTTGATGTCTTACTGCGAAGCACATGCCAAAGAAGACCCCCTGCTGTCGCCTGTCCCAGCGTCTGAAAACCCCTTTAGGGAGAAGAAATTCTTCTGTGCCATCCTGTAAATTGCAGGAGCCTATAGTCGGTGCTCATCAGACATTGGACACTGAACAAGTAGAGTTTTCTAGCTGAGGTGCAGAGGACACCTTTCCAAGTCCTCACAAGCAGTGTGACTAAAAAAAGTAATACACATAATTTTTAAAAATGTCTGGGCGCTACAGGGGTGTGCATGTCTCAGAGGAACCATGTGGTTTGCTAGAGAAATAAAGATCCAGAAACACAAATTTCACATTACAAGTGGGTCTTCAAAGTGTGCAGGCTAGCAGCCCATGATGACAGATGTAGAGTTGTAAAAAAATAACATTTTGTGACACTTTTGAATAAATAAAGGTTAGCTTTGGTAGTTTAATGGCAAACAAGAAAGCTCCGCTAAGCAAGCTTCATGCTGGTGACAACATTTTTTTGGAATGTTTTTTTTATGATAAGTTTATTTTTAAGTTAATTGGTTGGGTATATCAATGAGATTTCTGTTTTCCTGTTATGTGGTTACTTATTTGGCTATGTACACTTTTTTACTATACATTCATAGATTAGCTAAATCTTTTTTTAAGATAAAGAGTACAATTCTTTGCAATTATATATTTAAAAAAAAACTAAAAAAAGCTGGCTATGTGATTTTTTTTCTTCTAAAGGTAACTAGCTCTCTTTTTAACATTTGTATACAACCGCTAGCAAATGAACTGTGTTGTGCTCATTGTGCTGAATGTTTGTGTTGGTTGTCATTAATAGTGCATGAAAATGGGCAAACCCATGACTATGTTATGATTATCAGTGATAAAGTGGTCATGGTTGATGATCACACTATTTACTTTAAACTGCTTAGATAATTTGCTGGTGCCAAGATGGGTATTCTATACGGGCCATAACGCAACACATCCTGCAAGACTTCCCTGTTAGTGTAATAGCTGATGTATTTAAACTGCATTCACTGTTTTAATAGGAATGACTGTCTAAGTCTTTCTTGTCTTTATACAAGACAGAAAGGAACTACATTTGTGAAGAAGAAAATTCCAAAAACCTATTTCTTGGGATTACACAAATTAACAGTTTTTGTTGTTAACAAAATGGAAAATTTGCTGTATATAACTTAAATTTACATAAGGTAGCTTATTGTCCCCTAATAAGGTAGCAAAACTATTATCAGGCTCTAACCTGTTTTCTGAATGCAGCTCAATGGGTTATACTGAATGCATTCTTAGGCCTTTGCACTTACTGTACCAACACGGTCTAATTGTATAAAAATGTCCAAGGGAAGTCACTCACAGTATCTTTTTGTGAGTGGTGTGATTAAGGCTAATTATCCAAGCACAACTGCCATTGCTTTTATACAAGATTTTTTTAAAATACCATCGATTGTTAATATCATTAATATCATTGATAGTTCATTGAAAAATGTTATGAAAACCCAAGGCAAAACCTTGTTCAAATCACAAAAGCTTCAGCTAAGCCAGTGCTTCTAAATTGTGTTTCGAACAAGACAGCAAATGCACAGTCACGCTCTGATATGTCCATTCTCTTATGCGTCCTTAAGCTCCTGTTTCATATATTAAGATTTTTTTTTTAAATGAAAGCTGTGCTCAAATGTGAGATCACATTACAGTTTGTTGCAATTAAAACATTACAGGATGCAAGCTAGGTGACCCTTTTTTCATGTTTTTTGGTAATGTCCAAGCTCCACTCAACCATCTGACTCTTCATTGTACCAGACCCTCTTTTGAACTGATATCCCAACATGTAAGTGTCTTGATATGACGCTGAGCCTGGGAAACCAGTCTTTCATTCCCAGGGATCGCCTTACATTCTGATGTGCCATACAGGCTGGTGCCACTGCCACAGAAAACCCATCTTGCATCTAGATATTAATTTAATGTACCCCATTTCAGTCAAGCTTTGTTGTTCCTTTAAGCAAACTATGGCTTATATTTATAGCTTATTTTCCACTATACTATGGACACTGGTTTTTGAATAAGCATAAACACACCCAAAACAAGGAAATTGTTACACAAACCAATGAGTTATAAAAGCAAAAGGAGCTGAACCTTTGTGTAGGTACTTTTAATTTTGCACTTTTTCTTTGTGTAAAGTTTAAAATATCTTTAAAAGCTGAACATTACCTTTAATTAAAAAGATTGAAAGATTTTGTGTCCGTTTATCACTTTATCACAGTTATGATTCTGGTTCTCTTATTTAATACCTATGCTAATAAAAATGTTTGTTTCTCTTTAGTAATTTATGTTATGGTTTCCAATTGCCTTTTATTCTCTCCACTAAAAGACTAGATTCATTGTAAATACAGTGTCCTTATGGAGTGGAAGTTAGATAAAGTGAAGGAACACCAATATTTGCAAAAAATGTTATATCTTTGTCTGTTTCATTTAATGGCAATTTTCAGTATTTTAAAACAAATATACATTAAAAAGCATAGCAGTTGAATAGCATAGAGAGTTTAAACAGTTACCTTCATGGCTAATAGTCCCAAACACAAGTTAAAAATGTAAGTAACATATTTGCGATTATTATAAAGGACTGTTATATCATGCTATTGACAAAGACATATTACATTAAGTGTAACTCATAAGACAAATTCTATTGATTCCACAGTTCCAGTTCACACATATTCAAAAATATTTCAATAGACTGAACAAGGAGGACAGAGTTTGAAACATCAGGGTATATTTGTAGACTTGCTGGATTATAGACTATGAGAACTTGAATTAGCATCCAACACACTGGATGGAAAGGCAACAATTCTGAGGAAGAAAATCTTAAAAAGAAAGAAAATCCCAATGTGCTTGAAGAACCAACAGAGAATATAAATGGAAAATAAATGCACTTTCACTTCTTCACTGGTATGTTATGATGCCTATATTAGACATACAGATAGTTACAATTTGATTGCAGATCTGGATCTATTGAAAAAAGGTGTTGGTCTCAAGGATACCACAAAGTAGTCAGTGATACCCTTTTTACCTTTCTGGTTGTGCTTTTTGAAACTTTGAGCACTTGGAAGTATTGCAGGCCGAGTACCGTGTTTGAGAATGAGCTGTGTCAATTCCAATTTCGTCATTGCTATGCTTAAAAAAATATTTACAGTAGCTCTTCAAATTAGGTAATAAAGGGATAAGAGCTTCGCAACCTTGCTACACATAAAACTGGCATACTGTAATTGCAAAGATATTAAAAGTTTTGTTTCCAATACTGTATGTCACCTACAGTATCACACTATCACCAATCCACCTGCAAAGCACAGCAGAAAAACAGTCTTTCAACACCTATATGGTACACTGAAGGATAATGTTTTGGGTTGGGCCAGGATGCCCTGCTGTGTACATTCCTGTTACGTGAACAATGTATTAGTTCTAAATAAACTTTTGGATATGTTTAAAAAAGACAGCATCTACTTTTTCATCTCTAAAAAGACAGTTTTATATGTTGCTGTTCTGGAGCATTTCATGCACAAAAGGTTTTAAAAGACTGGAAAAAAATAATTGATGTATTGTGTGAACTGTCATAAATGAAAAGTTGGAAGATGAAAGGCAATTTCTTCATCTGCTTAGAATGTTTTATAGCAAAGCTTTCCAGTAAAACAGGGGTTTTTCACTTACAGTCTAGACTGACATCATTTTTCGTGATACAGAAACAGTACAAGTCCCATGAACTTGATTTTCTCGTTTTACTATGCAATTATCTTTTCTGATTCTTTACACTCTATAGATACAATCTAAAATTAGAATGTATCCTATGATTCCAATTCCAAGTACTTTCAGAGCATATCTCTGCCTGCAGAGATCTATGCAGACCCTCCTCTGTATCTTTCTGAAAAGATCACTAATAAAACCACAAGTTCCTTGGATCCTATTACCATTTTGTTTTTTGTATTGCTTTGTTGATTTTTTTAAAATCTAAATTTACAGTCCAACCTCAGGCAATATCCAACTTTTGCAATGCTTTTGGTAAACATTCTAGAACAAGTGGTTTGTAACCAAGCACTGGTAGTTTGTACCTTCTGTTTTGTTATTCCAAGACTCTCCCAGTGCATATCAAATCTTGTAACTCACCTCTATATTCAAGCTACAATATAGACTTCAGTGTTGATTTCACTGTTTTAATTGGTGTATACCTCTCTCCTTCTTTTAATTGTACAGTGCACAGGGATAATGTACCAAGACGCCATAGAATATTGTTGTTGTTAGCCTACAACGTCTAAAAATATTTTTAAAGCATTTCATTACTTTAAAATCAAACTTCTGTGTTAAATCAATAGTACAATGGGACATTTATGAAAAACACCATCATATTTTACTCTACATGAATGTAATACTCCATTTAGTATTCCTAAATCCTAAACCTTAAAAATTAAGGGATGTGCATTCATAAGCATGTATATACTGTATGTTTCTTTCCAACTACAGTGTGTACAGTAGGTGATATATACATGTATATATACTGTCCTCTTATAATGTATACTGGTACATATACATTAACTCTTAAGCGCTCGTTGTTATAAAACACATGGCAAGTGATACTTGAGAGAAATCCAAACTCCAAAGTCATTCCTAATTTGAAAAACCAATAAGATGTACATCTGTACCGTGTGCAATATATATACATACAAAATACAGCACATCAGTAACACGTTTCTAACCATCCGAAGTATTTTTATCCGAAATGCGATTGAAACGATTAATTCTTAAAAACTTTTGTACAAAATACTTTTCTTTTTCAGTCACGAAAAGAGACAGATCTATAATGCATCTCAACTATTATTTTTTCAAATAACAGCACTCATTCCAAAGCATTTACTTTACTCTTTTATTGTTAGTCACAACGTTTTCAAATAATTTAAATACCTTTAAAATGTACTTTTCATTAAAAAGCAAAAGGCAAATGTTAAGATGACGTTTAGCATAATGCTTTAATTTTGAATATTCCTTATACATTCAAAACATAGATTAATGAAAAAACCTTGATTCATTTTTTTTGAGTACGTAGGAAATACGTCATATGCAAAGAAAAATGCTCTGACAAATTCCTCCTACAATTAACCTCGTTTCCTGTTTTGGAAATAAAAGCGTCGTCTGGCATTGGCTACTGAGGCACTGTTCTCTATTTCTATTGGTCGTTTGAAGTGTCAGTCACCCTTAGCGTGCAGACGCTGGAAGACGGTGTGCTGTGTGCTTTAATGGGTTTATGTTCAGATTTATGCGTTTGTTAACTAGCATTTAAAATCTCACCATGTTTCGAAGAAAGCTTACAGCTCTGGATTATCACAACCCCGCTGGGTTTGACTGCAAAGGTAAAACAACTTAAAAAGAGAAGGGAGTAAGGTTAAATGAGTGACGTGTTCTGTCATGCCAAAGGAAAGCTTGATGCAGGCCCCTAATTCATCTTACCTAAATAAAGAATTATAGATGGGGCAGTCATTCTTTTGATTTTATATTTAAAGATCTTGAACTTTTAGTTTCCTATCAGTAATGTGGTTTTATTATCACATGTATTTTCTGCTTTCTATGCAGTATTATGTACTAGGCTGTTCATAGTTCATAGTAGCTGTTAAATGATAGCCGAAACGTGTTTCCTTTCTTCTCTTTTCAGCATAGAATAAACCTTTACTTGTTCCTTTGCCGTTAAATAAAGTTGCATTTATACGTTTTCTGGCGATAATGTTCGAGTTTCCATGCAGGGTTGTTGGTAGTGGTGTTCATTTTGGTATGACTTCAAATTAGCTTCACCTCGAGTTAAATTATTTGTGTTCATTGTAATTCCTACCGGTAAGTAGTTGGGGAAAATAGGCAGAGATATGGATTTGTACATCGTGTTATCTTGATTTAATACCTGCTGGGGAACAAAACGTGTTGTTCAGTCACTAGTGGTCTCTGTGGACATCTGTAGAGCCTAGAACTTACGCTGTGAAAAACGTATGTGAATGATACTTTTTTCCCCAGGAAAGACGGATTGAAGTCAATTTGAAGTCAGTTTTAGAGTGTTATTTACGTTTCCTACCTGTTAAATCTGTGCTATGTGAGAACACGGATTTAATGAGTGTACTTTACTGTTGTGTTTTAAAAATGCTTTCCTGGCTCATGAACTGCAGACATCTATCATATGTTATAGGTCGTCTTTCCTGAAGCGGTATCTTAGCAGTAATGGAAACAGAACAGGTGTTGAGTCTATACAACAAAATGCACTAAACATGAAATGAGACTGGTAACGCATTGCACATGTAATCTGGTTTTCTTCTTTGTATAATTATGTCACTGCACTATAAAGGATGTGTCTAGTTCCCAGTTTTGTGGTAGTGGTCTACCTTCTGACATCAGCTCACTCATTCATCAGAAGGGCATTGATTTAAGTGTATTTTTCCCCTTTTGTTTATTGTTGTTTTTTTGTAGACGAGACGGAATTCCGAAATTTTATTGTGTGGCTGGAAGATCAGAAAATCAGGCACTACAAAATTGAAGACCGGGGCAATCTGAGAAACATACACAGCTCAGACTGGCCCAAACACTTTGAAAAGGTAAGAATCCAACTGGAAAGACTAAATCTGAGGTTACCTTTGCTCTGGATAAGTGCCATTTCCAGTATGACAAATATGAAGTTCTTTCAGTAAGCAAAGAGAGAGGAGTTCATTGTTGAGGTTTTGTATTTTGACATTACAGTACATTTACTTTTCAGCAAAATCCTCCTGCACGGAAAGACGCATTTCTCCATGAGGTTTTGTATTATATGTTATATGTTAGATTGATAGCCTCAACAGCACAGACTGAGATTATCCCTAATGAAGGAACAGGCAATTATGATATCATGAGATATGATCACAATATGTTTCTACCCTCTGATAGGCCTGTATCAGTTTATCTACCTGTCATGTCACTTTAGATCAGCCCCTTAGATCACATGCTCATTACTCAGTCAGCTGTCCACTTCTTCAGAATCTGTACATAACCTAGACTGGTAAGTCATTTCTGTTCTACTTTGCTTTACCAGTGTTAAATAATCTTGGTGTCACAGGTAAGTGGGAGTATATTACTGCTGCTGTCCGCAGCAATCACTTTCTTGTGAGTCTTTTTCTTAAGTACCGTTTTGTTTTTCAGTACCTTCAAGATGTCAGCTGCCCATTTAAGGCTCAAGAGAGACAAGAGGCCGTGGACTGGCTGCTGGGTTTGGCAGTGCGGTTCGAGTATGGAGATAACGGTACGATGTCAAGTGGGCATGCTATAGGAAGCTTGCTGATGTAGTGCAGTGGGTACGGGTGAAAATCACCTCTACTTTTAATAAAGATTGTACTTGTTTTAGATATCTGGGAGGGTGGCACGATGCGGTGTTGACTGGCACTTCTGTCTCGCAGCACTTGGGTCCTGGGTTCTACTGTGCCCCTGGGCTCCTGCTGTGTGGCGTTGCCAAGCGTTTTCCCTGTCCATATGGGATTTCTCTGGGTGCTCCAGTCTCCTCCCATGCTCCAGATACTTGCTGCCTAGGTTAACTGTTGCCCCTATGTGTGGCGGATGGCAGACTGGGGCCCCACCTAGGGTGTAGTCCTGCCTTGTACCCCTGCATCCAGAATGGGAGCCAGGTTGCAAAACACAGGAATAAGTGGCTTTCTGGTAATGTTGTATTTTGTTTTGGAGTTATTTATCTCTTAAAGAGTTGCTGAGGGATTTTTCTTAAGACTTGAACACTTTCCACCCCCTTTCCGGTTTTTGTGTTATTGTCGTGTGCCATTTGCTTTATGGCTTTGGGGCTCAATTTTAATGATGAGGAGAGGCATATCTGAAGCCTGGAGAGAGTGCTTTAAAATCATCTAGTGCTCTTTCTACCGGTGACTGCCAGTTATGCCACAGAAGCATATTTCTGTATTTGATTTCGGTTACATTTGAATTTTTAAAAGTAAAAATTGAGATGAAATAATGGTAGATTTAGCAAGCTACTTTTGACTGGTGTAGTACCATTAAAAGCCCCTAGATGGCGGTCTTGCTTTAAGTATGCACTTGAAACCCACTTTAAATCCAACAGCTCTGCTTATCCATCACCAGTAATCCAGCCCTCTCCCCAAATGATTAAGATCAGGTTTTTCTTTCTTGCAAGAGATATTGACAGTGCATACAAAATGCGACTTAAAACATTCTGAAACTTTTAACAGAGTGACATGTTGAATTATTTTCAGCCTGAATAGCCAGCAAATTGTAATTATCTGGGGGAAATATAGAGTAAGTGTACAAATGACAGAATTTCTTTTTGGCATTAGCTTTTCCGCTCGGGAGAATAACCCTTTTGCTCCCGAGCACACCTGAGACTCCAGAGGTCTGATCTCTGGAGGTCACTACCAGGGAGCTTGCACACTCAAAAGACTGTAACTACAAGTGTGTTGAAAAATTGTACTTGTTTCCTGTGACATAGAATGAGGAATAGTCCCCCTTTCTTTTCTACCAGGCCGAGCTAGATGAATGATTTTCTGAAAGGTGACTATGTTGAGAATAGTATAAGTGACTGGCAGGTTGGCTTTAGACTGGCATGTTTGTCCTCTGTGGCCTGCTGCCCACTCATTTGTTTCTCATGTCCTGGACTTTCCCCATAAGTGTTTTTTGCATTGTAGGGATGTCTGTTTGTTCGTAGGTGATTCATCTAATTGTTTTTTTTTCTGTGAAGTACATCCTGGTCACGTGTAAAGCCAATAAGACTGCCATAGCATAGCAGTTTCAGGTTTCACAGGCTTTTGGTGGCAGGTGTGAAGAGTGCTCTGGCGAAGCAAAAAAGATCATTTATTTAGAGAATCGACATCTTAAGCTTTGCATGTCTGTACGTTAAAATACCTAGCAGTCGGTGTTACAAATCTGGAATTGGATCTAAGTGTCATACAGAGCAGCACTGGACTCATTGTTTTGACATGAGAAACCTATCGAGATGGGCTCTCTGTTTGTTGCCTCTTAATAAATGGCTCTGTGGCAATTTGGGCAAACTCCCTGGAGAGAAAGAAGAGTATAGGATCACTGTGTGACATGAACAACTGGCAAGATGGGAATGAACATTCTTCTTTGTATTCTTTAATTCCTTAGTAATCACACTGAGGTTTTATGTGACTTTTTTTCTAAAATATGAGCACTCACATTTGTAGTTGACTTCATTCTAGCTCAATGAATTAAGCTGCTCATTTGGAAAGTAGGCTGAGCCCTGTGGTCCCAGTGTCATTATCCATCTGTGACCCAGAATTCCACTGGGCACAGAGTGCTCTTATTCCCCACACAGAGGGCACTGCGGTTGGCTGGGCTTGAGTCTGCTGCTTTCCCAGCACCCTCGTCTGATTCATCAGTTGCCTTGTGTGTTTGCAGTGCTGTGAGAGAGCTTCATCACTCCTTGGTACAGATAATGCTCCTGGAAGGACAGTGGAAAGTTCCACAGGGAAGTCCCCGTTTGTTACTGCTAGTATGGCAGTGATCTAAATTGCTTTTAAGAATAGGTTATTTCATTGGAGAGCCAAGTTATAAAGAAATTGCCAATTCCAGATAGATAAAAATCAATTGAAATTAGAGAATTGCTAATACCAATGTGTTTTAGACTGAAAACAGAAAGGAGGTGCATTTATTGTGTTTTTGTAAGGATGTTTTGCTGAGTTGGTCTTCTTACACTTCTAACATGTGCCTGACATTTGCTTTTTCTTCACAAACAGCTGAAAAATACAGGAACTGTAAACCAGAAATAGCTGCCAATAATGCAGGGAAGCAATCTGATCCACTCATAAATCTCGACAGTAAGTTGTTTTCTTTTATTTCTATTAGGGAGGTTGTTGTAATAGAATTTATTGTGGGTGTTCCCCAAGATACTAAACATGAAATGCATGTATGGTCAGACGCTGCTCAGTTTGGTAGTAGTAGGATGGTAAGTGAGTTATCTAATGGATATATTTTGGTAACTGGACGTTGTACTTTTGTTTCACATTTGAAAAAAGCTCTCATTCTATCTGATATCTGAAGGACAGTTTACTATATCTACATTGAACAGTGGCTTGTTTTTTTTTTGTATGTGTGTATTTTTAGAAGCATTCCTCAGGGTGTGCTGAAAAATGACCATGTTAAGCAAAAACAAAAAAGGCATAAAAAGTCCTCTGAAAGTGCTGAATTGGTAATGGTGGCGCTGTCTGTCATGATCGCACCGCAGTACATGCAACTGCTTTCAATGAGAATCTGCCGCAGGCAATCCTCCTGCTTAAATAAAGCTTGCTTTTCATTCTAGGACCTTTTATTTTATCTGTGCTTAAAAAAAAAGAGGCCAAGGCAGTAGGAGTAAAAATTTGACAACTTGACCGTTTTATTAAATGAGGAATACATTGCTTTCATTTTCCATTGTTGCTTTTTTCCTCAAGTTAATAATCCAGATTTCAAAGCGGGCGTGATGGCTCTTGCGAATCTTCTCCAAATCCAGCGCCATGATGACTACCTGGTTATGCTGAAGGTGGGTATATTGTATACAGTAGATGACTAAACTATACTTTGTGCTATAAGATGGTGCTTCTATAAAGCAAGTTTTCATCTGGATTTTCACTTTTTTGTCCTGTCATTTCAGTTGCAAAATTTAGCTAGGCAGATTAACATTCACCAAGATTTATTTTAGTTATAAATGTGTGAAACAGTTTTTAAAAAAATGTTGTTTTGATTTCCTGTCTGACAGCTTGTTGGTTTGGGGGTTTGAACTATTAAGAAGACAATGACAAGCTGCATCTGAATTGAAAGGAAGGCATTGTAACTTTATTTCATAAATGGCGATAAAATATCTAAATGTGAAAAGAATGGCTGTTTTACTATGATTAGGATAAAATGCAATACACCATTAAGTAGGTATTTGTAGAAAATTATCTCCTTTTGCCTTTTAATCTTTAATTAAATAATAAAGTTAATGATTCCCTTTAACTTTTAATGTTTTTTACAGCTGTGCATTATTGAGATTGATCAGAACTTTGCTGCTCTTTACAAAGTGCAAATACTTAGACTCACAGGGACTTGTGTGATGTCTGGCCAGTAATGAAAGGCTGGAGGTTGTTTGCTGTGTTATGGGAAGCACTTACTATGTATATATATTTAATACCCTACCACATGTGAAGTTCTATACTTATGATGCATACAAGTTTGATTTTGTTTTGCTCATCATTTTTTTTAAGCATTTTGACCTTTTAGGAATTGATAGTGTTGTGGAATTTGATGGCAGTTTTATGTTTTTGTTTTCCTCTGTGGTATTTGGCTTTCAGGCAATTCGGATTCTGGTTCAAGAACGATTAACCCAGGAAGCCATAGCAAAAGCAAATCAATCAAAAGAGGTAAGGAGAAAGTAGAGATGTCTGAAAGGAACATTTAAACAACTATTTCACAAACATTCTTAAAACTCCACAAATGTGGTTAAGTCAGTTTTTTTTAAAAAAGAAGAATCTGAGTATTTCTTTGGCAAGTTTTCTTTGATAAGTTATAGTGCATACAGTACTTCTGTTTTGAATATTTGTGTTTTGTTGAAGAGTGTGTTTTTAATCAGTGTTTCTCTTGTAAGGGTTTGCCAGTTGCTTTGGACAAGCACATCCTTGGTTTTGATACAGGAGGTGAGCTGTAGTTTGTCACTTTCTTCTAATGAGTTTTCATGCTACACTTAAGTAACACGTAAGGCCTTCTTCTTCATCACTCTTTCCTCTTTACCACTCAGATGAGTAATACTTTCATTCTGTAGCTTGAAAGTGTTATATATTTGAAGTTTATGAAAAGAGGAATTGGTGAACAGGTTGCTGAAAGGAGAGAGAATCTTTCATTTTCTCTGTATATTTCTCTATAAAAACAATTTCAATACTTCCATTAAATAAGAGCATACTAAGCCATTTCATTCTCATAATTGTGCAGTTTATCACATTATAATGAATTATTACTTTCATGGATTCTTGAAACTATAAACAGATTTTTGGACAAAATCACATTTATAAGTATTTAATTAAAGCTTTTGTTCAAATAATGGTTGCTTGCCTGTACTCTTGCCAAGTTTTCGCTAGTGTTCAAGAATCTTAGAAATGTATCTCTTGGGGAAATAAATACCAGTCACTTTCTATTCTGATTGTACATAAATGTTTTTACATTTTGTTTGTTTTAAATCATAATGTCCTTTACTGTGTACTGGACTGTGACTCCCATAACCTCTCCCAGCTTTGTGCAGTCAGTATGTCTTAATGCTCCTGAGACATGGCCCCAGCATTCATTGCTTAAACAAGGATTTCCTCCTTATCCATAACTTCTATTCAGCTCCGAGATGTTTGGACTTGATCAGACGAAGTTTTGTTTGAGAAATGTCAACTGGACTTGATTTGACATTGTTTTGCACCTTCTGCAAGTGTAGGAAAGTAGACATGTCTTGACACTTTGATGTGTGGATCTGGGATAGCGGGTAACTTGTTTCTTTTTCGTCTTGCGCTCAGACGCCACATTAAACGAGGCAGCTCAGATCCTGCGGCTGCTGCACATTGAAGAACTGCGAGACCTGCAGACCAGGATCAATGAAGCTATTGTGGCGGTGCAGGCCATAATCGCTGACCCGAAGACTGACCATAGACTGGGTAAAGTGGGCAGATGACCTGCCTGCCACACCCAGTCTCTGCTCTGCACACCTGCTCTCAGACAGTCTGTAATCTTGACATCTCCATGAGGCCTGCTCAGATTTGTTTTTGGGGTGGTGGGGTGTTAAAAGATGGTATGCAAAACATCAGCCAGTTCTATGGTAATTTGAAAATAAACTTTAAAATGACTGATCCACGATTTAATGTGTTTAATGTTAATAAAGTATATAGAAAGATATTTTCATTGTGTTGTTTAGGAAGGAAATGATTATATAAATGCAGAAAACTATTTCTTCAGAAAACTAATATGCGACTACTGTCACAATGAATTTCAGTTGGAAAAGCCTGTTCACTGGAGTAATTGAGCAAAAGACATGAGGAACAGTGTTATGAAAACATTTGAGTTATATTTGAGTTTGTTTCAGATCAATTTGCTATACTGTACAAAGCTAAAAATTCTGTTGGGTGACAAATTAGTTGCATTTATTTTTCCTCAAATTTCCTATATTGATTCTGGATCCTATTTTTTTGTTTGTTTTGCAAAAGGTGGAGATTGTGTCTAAACATGATTGCATAGTAAAGATTAACCTGACAATTTCTATATTCTTCAGTTTCTTGATACAAAAAGATACTTTTTTTAAATAAAAGGAGGGATATATACAAGCCCTGAATTTTATCTTTAATTGTATAAATATTACATCTTACAAAAAGATAAAGGAAAAATTAACACTGTAGTAAAAGGTTCTGACACATTTTTGCCTCACAGTTAACTCTAAAGGAAAATTTAGTGTGTGGTTAAAAATACACTGCATGTTTGTACACTTATTAAAAAAGGACTTGTGTAGAAATGACAAAGAACAGAGCAAAGACTTGAGTACCGAGGAAGGTCTTTAGCACCCTGTCACTTCTTTCTTTTTAAAAAACACCAAAATACAGTAGTAAAACTGAGGTATAAAACAAATTTACAATACTTTAAAAAAATTACAAGAGGTTTGTGAATGTATTTGGCGTATCGGTACGCCATCCTGCCCAAATAGCACCTATTGCGTCCATCATTTTCTCCCTGGGAAAAAAAAGAAAAGGGTCATTACACTATATATGTTAATTACCGAGTCTGTCGGTGTTAAATAAGTGCTCAAAATGAGCCACAGGCTGGAATGAGCATTACATGGTAATTTTCAGTTTTGAAGGTAGACCAGGTTTGTGAAATGTTTGGAGTTCTTTTGTTGTAAATTGTATTTATAGTGTTCGTACTTGTGCGACCTCTCGGTAAATTACACCTTTAAACAAAGGATGGGTTCCACACACAGTATTTTCAGGATGACTGTTCCTTATATTGCATGCCTTTAGTTCCTTTCATGTTTTGCACACTTTTCTTGCATTTCATTGATCTTTTCTTGTTTAAAATAGTTATTTTGGCTGCAGCTGTCCTTTGTTTTGCCTTTCATTGCTCCTTATTTGACATATCACATAACAAGTCTGTGCCTGTCTTGCCTGGATTTCCTTCAGGGTGTTTCTTCTGCATCCTAAATTACATTTTCCTTTTCTACTACGTGGACCATTCATGAAATAATCAGGTCTTTATGAAATCTTTTTCCCCAAAATATTTTTAGGATTGGTTGTCTTAATTGTATTCCATGTAGCATGGAATGAATCACTTCACTTCTTTTGCATTGTGTTCACAAAACTTTAGAACCACTGGTACGACAGTTATAGTAGTGGTTGAAGTTGGTCAAAAAATCATTATAGAAAATCTATTAAATGACCGAATCGTGATTACATTTCATGTAATGATTACATCATTTTGGGCAATTTCAGTTTCAATCTGTTATAACTAGACAGATGGTTTAGTTTCAGGATTTTGTGGAATAATTAGTGGATGTCTGAGAAAGGTGTTGCATGTAAATTGCATTAGGATGCACTCTGTTAAACACCAGTGCAGTGGAGATACAATACCTGGTACACAACTGGAGTAGGCAACTGTAATACCATACAGGTGAGACCTCTGATCAGGTAGGTATGTATCTGTGAATTGGCTTGTGCCTCTGCTCAGGCCAATGACACCATCCCTGAGGAGACAAAAAGAACCAAATTAGAAGAGACCCTGACCCTCGGCACCTTCACAAAGGATTACTCACTGGCATCCCACTTTCACACATCATATTCATCAGTTTTCCACTGCTGGAAGGATTGGATTTTGCAGTGACACTGACTTCTTGAAGTAAAATAATCTGTTTATTGGGATGCATCTAAAGATCTAATGTTTACAAGTAGTTGGATTCTGTACCTTAAGGGCTGTCGTTGCCTTTGCCTGATGCTGTATTGAGTCTTAACAATGACTGCAGGAACATGTGGAAGATGTGAGATTTTTCACGCAAGCCAGACCCTTATTTCATGTTTAATTTCATGCAATGGAACGTGGGAGAACAAAAAACATGGAAAAAGTTCTGGAACTCATTGACCAATGGATCTGTTTTACTTCTAGGCTGTTGTTATGATCTTGACTGCAGATGGTAAAGCCTAAGATCATCACAAAAAATATACTGATGAAATGTTGCTAGTGTGTTTGTCAGACTTGTATGGGGGCCCCCTCTCAAAGAGGAGAACTTGCTGCATTGTTGAGATTTAACAGTTCATTTGATTACCAGTCAACAGGTTTTTACAGATATGAATCGACTCAATAGTTCTTTCTTGTGTTTTAAAATATAACATGGAAAGGTTTTGGATAAAAGCGCTATATAAATGCAATTACTATACATGATTATACTGCAGTTCATCTGTGAGCAGCTGGGCAATGAAAATAGGTGATGCTTGTGTTTTAATAGCTGTGCTGCAGAAGAAGGGCCAGACCACCTACCTTCTCCAGTCTGTGTAGTAGAAGTGGTTCGAGTAAGCCACCAGACTGAACGGGTAGTTCAGATTGCTGTGGATAATACGTCTTTCTGTTCCATCGGGGGCTATGCACTCCAGTCGCTTTGTGCCTTTTCATCAAAGGGAAGTCAACCATTAGACACCCATTTCAGAATGAGAGCCTTCTGCAGAGGCAGAGAACTTCTCAACCAGTACCGATTAGAAACCTTTTTGATTTCCATGCACAAGTGTAGAGTATACATATATATGATTATATTAGGCTTCAACTGCCTGAGTACCAAAACATGATATGCATTTGCAAGAAATAGGATTGGCGATTTAGAATTTTACTGTTCATGGTTGTTAAAGTTCTGGACATAGTTTTGTTACAGGTTTGAATGCAGAAATGCAGTTTGAGAATGCTTGTCAGCTGCTAATTTATTCAATTACTGCACATCTTAGTGTCCATATTATCCTGCTAAGGCACAAGACAAAATAATAAAATAAAGAGCATTGTTGACAACAGTTCACTGGTATAGTTTGGGTGCAAGATGCCAAAACCACTGAAAATGGAATGATGTGTTCCAGTTCTGTTAGACCATTTCCAGTAAAAAAAAAAAACACCCATGTGCTAGCAGATGCGGACATACCTGCGTCAGCCCAGCAAAGCTGTTTGGTTAAGGGGTCAAAGGTCAAGGCATTTGGCAGGCCGATGCCATCGCGCACAAGCACCCTCCTGTTGTGTCCCTCTACAGTGCAGCTCTCAATCTTGGGGCCTTCACGGTTCCAGTCAGTCCAGTAAAGGTTTCTGAAAGAACACCACGCTATAATCACATCTGAAGACATCTAAAAAATCACCAGCACTCAGTTCTGAATAATTTTAATAGGACATCCAGATTAATATAATTAGCATTTTCAAATGTTCAGAGATTGGGATGATATGAAAACTTCTTTCTCAAAATGCCTGCTTTCCAAACTCCAGATGCCATTGATAAATTAAATTGCTTTAATAAGATTAAAATATAATCAAATTATATTTTGCATTTATTTAAAACACAAGGAAAAAAAATATAATATGTAGGATGTTCCTGTCAAACAATTGAGGAACACATTTAAAAGAGGAACAAAATCCTTTGCATTTGGATTACTTGGTAAATACTGAAGAATCCGTCCCCACCCTCATCTCACTTTTCAAGCCTCAATATTCCTCTCTTCATGTACATGTCTCTTCACTTAGGGTTCCTGATAGGCTCAAGGGGTGTGGGTCTTTTGTAATAATGAAACCAGTATTGCACTCCCTGTCAGAATGCAGATTATATACCTCACAAACATCTCCTGCTCATTCATTCTAAACCACACTAACTACACATAGAGAAGTCCAGAAGAGACAACTTGGATGATACCATCTGCCTCTCGGAGCTTTGTGTAAACAATTTCAATGTAAACTTCCATCTGATTTAGCACGTCTGTACTAGCAGGGCCTCTTTGAAGAGTAACATGAAAGGAAACTAGCCAGGCGGAGGGAATAGTGTTTAATACTGATAGACTGGATAGAGTTGAATCTGCCTCTTTCTATTGCATTTGATTGCAGCCTTGCATGGCTGGAAGAATAGGAAAGAGTTGGGAGGTGTAGCTAAAGATGATTGTGACATTTTAAACACATCCAGGGCCTTGTTTTCCTCTTGGGACTAATCTCACGGACACAGCATTTTGTGACATCTCTAATGATCCGTGTCCCACAAACGAGGTATTATTGTGGCTTTTGAGTCAGTAATCACCCAGGGTGTCCTAATCTCAGCGAAAGCAACTTCCTGAAGCGGTCATGAACACTTGCTGGGCTCGTGCTGTTTGTTAGTACTCCAAAGAGTACTGAATAACATTTTCCCATGAAACAATTAAGACAACACAGTGCCGATTCGAAAAGCGGTGAGGACTGAAGTCTTTTTCCCCTGTGCTGTCCCTACCCGTGGAGTGAGTCCACTACAATAGCTCTGGGGTTGACCAGATCTGTGTCGAACATAACTTTCCGCTCCCCACCATCCAGCCTGGCTTTTTCAATCTTGTCAAGTCCACTGTCCACCCAGAACATTGTCCTCCTCTGGGAGTCTATGGCCAAGCCCTCGGGACTGAGGAGCCCTGCCAAGATGGGAGAGATAGAGAAATTATTCCAGAAGTGGAACAGTGACGCTCTTAAACATCTGGTATTACGTCAACGTGGTTATTGTCAGCACATCAGCCCTGCACACTGGAGCAGCACACTGCACTGGTTTGTATCCTGAGGGGAAACAGTTTTGGATCGGGGGGGGCGGGGGGGGGTTTACCTGTGTTAATGACCGTCTCTGGCTCGGCTCCTAATTCCAGGCTTGCTCGGTTGATCGTCCGTCCTGCTAAATCTGTCCAGTAAACCTTCTTCTCTCTGCAGTCGTAGTCAATCCCAACTACAATGGAGCCCTGGGAATAACAGCAAAATCTACATGTGAACAAACATCGCCAGGTCCTGGCTGTGCTGTTACCAACTGATAAGGAACAGACAAATATATAAGTTATGCAAAATAACAGTTTTGAGGCTGGTCACTTTACCAATCCACTATTAGCCTAGAGTGATTACAGCTCACAGCACATCAAAACCCTAACCCACCCATCAATCCCAAACTATAAATTAAATAAGCGACAACGTTTAGTCTGCAGCGAGAGCCTCTTCCTCCATTGCGCAATTCCTTCATCATTTGCAGCTGCTGCTGGATCAAAGTTCTCATTTGCCTCAGGTTTGTGTATCTCTCCCAGAAACAAATTCACAGAATATTTTTCTATTAGTGTAGGTCTTATACGGGTATAATCAACACTGAAACTCCAGCAGCCCTTAAAAGTATTTCTGCTCTTTCAATTAATATTTTCCAAAATGGAAAAAGATATCTTTGGATTAAAATAAGGAGATGTCACAAGTTTTTATTTAATGCTTTAACTTCTCTTCTACAGAGAAATAGCCAACCTGGCATGTGATGAAGCAGATAAAGGAAGTATGGACATTTAAAAGAAGGACAGAGAGAGACACATTACATGCAGTGCCAGCAGCACAGAGGCCCTCTGCTTGTCCATATCTGTGCCATTGAGTGGCAGTGTGCCAATCTGCTGGCCCTGGGCATACAGCAGTGCGGTGCCCTTGGGAGGCGGAGTCACATCAGGGCGGGGCGTTGGCCTCACAATGGGAGGGGCCACTGTTGGGACACCTGCCAATGAAAAGACAGCAATATTTAAGTTGGACAATCATAAGAGCCGGTGAGGCTGAATGTATACTATCCTGCATGACTCAAGCTCTTCAGTCTTCCTCAGTTTTTTTCTTCAAAGTGGCCATTTCCTTTGAATAGCTCAGATTTACACATTTCCTGATGCATTATTTTTAATACAAAGACTGTGATGAAAGAAAAGTGCTACTTATTGGAGTCATAAAACAAAAGGCGCTGCTTTTGTACTGACCCCCATATTATTATTTATACCTGTAGTGAAGCTTCTAATTCATTGCCCGTCCCCTGTGTATATTCTGGTAAAGGACAACACCGTTTCTGTAACCATTATAAAATAAAAAGATATGCTTGAATACAGTATGTCAGCTTGCTGTGAATTCTACAAAGTAAAAGTATTTTTTTTTTCTTACAGGCAGGTTTGACAGTGTCCTGAGAGCGTGTTCCCGGCACTTCTCTGCCATCCTTGTCCACACACCAACAGTAATTTTCTCCGTAGCACTGGAGGGGTTTAAACTGGCCCAGTTCGTCACACTGAGGCAGGAATTGGTGGGCAGCTGGCTGGCCTCCGTACTGCTCAATCAAGCTGGCTTTCCAGCGCTCGCACACGGTTTCTGGGCGTTGTAAGGGGCCTGCAGACGAGAATAACATATGTTACACAGAGCTGCTGAAAACCCCACCAGAAAATATATCTGATAATCTAAGGGACCCCCACTACGTCATGCTGCCATACAAATTCAAGATTCCTGAAAACAGGATATATCTGACGGGATCACATTATATTCACATTAAGAACATAAAATATTAGAACGTCATTAACATAGACAGGGGATATGTTTTTATAAGAATTAGAAAAACAGGTGTTTTTTCAATTTCTCAAGGCCTCCTCTCAGACAGTATCTTTTGTTTAGTTCTTGATTACAGCCTTTGAATGTCTATTGTTTGTTTAATGAGCAAACAAGAATATCACTGCTTCTCTACTGGAATCCATATACGGATACTGTTTTATGATTGATCACAAGGTTAATTTGCTAACCAGCTGTTTATGGACTGAAATAACCTTTAAGCACTTGAAAGCCTGTGAACTCATGAGGCCCACAGTTTAAAAACACAGTAATCCCTTTTTTAAAAGTTTTGTTAGTATCCTTCTACATTACGCCCATCTGTGTATAAAGATGTTGTCAAAATCTCCCTTCCCTCAATTTATTTTCTTGCAAATAATCCAGCCTTGATAATACAGTGCTCTGCTTTTTAAAAACAGTCTGAAATACATTACCATTCTTTCCATTAACAAACTACCTTTTGTATTGATTAATGAAATTATGATCCATCACAAATCCCATACAATTCTGATGCTGAAAAAGAGATGCCCTTCTCTAAAGATGGAATAGGCAGCCTACTGTATTCTAGTGGGTAGCTGCGTCAGTATGCGTAGGCGTTCTACTGTATTCTAGCCAATCAGAACCATCATGTACAGAAATACTCACAGTTTTGTAGGGAAACTGTTACTTGAAACAAGTAAAACAATGTATAAAGAAGTAACATCTCACTATTGAAACCAATGTGCTCCATATCAAACTGGAAAACTGTACTGTTATAACAAAACTCCAGAAATGGCAATAATACCAAATAATGAGTGAAGACCGAAGGCAAAATGGGATGTGAGAGGCGAGGTCAACATTTTCAACCCTCTTACAAAGGATTCAGTAAAAAAAATAAATCAAGGTTAACGTTTGACATTTCAAAGCTTGTTGACAAACTGTCTGGCAGAGCACACCTTGGTCTTTGTTGTAAGCACTAGGCTCTTCAAGCAAAGGAAGAATTGTGAAGAATCCGTCAGTAACTGCTTATTAGAGTCAAGCTCTCCTACTGTATTATTACTTCAACTACAACTGATGTTCGTCCAACCTTATCTAAAAACATAACAAGTGGAACAACTCAAAAGAAACAACATAATTTAAGAGTGATGAAAAATGTGAAGTATCTTGTGTAAATGTTGGGCTGTAAATAAAATGTTTAATCAGGAAGCTGCTAATGTACATTGTCACCCTTTTTATTTCCTACACCTAGTTTTGTTAAATGATAATCACCAATGCTGATAAGCATTTACTATTTGTACTTAAGTGTAATATAACATTTGGTATTAGTTATTTTAAACCTACATTTGAATTTTACTTCCTTTTTTTCCTTTATATAATAGTCTGTACAACCATAAGTTCAAGTAGGCAGCTGGGTCACAGCTAAAGAAGGCTCCACAGCCGTGTCTCTTTCTTTTTAGCATGAAAGAAACCTTTATCTGCTCCTGTACAATCATAATATGTTCTTATTTTACATTGGAATATAATTGATTTATGTTCATAAATCTGCCAAGAGAAAAATCTCATATTAACATATTTCCAGGAAGTCTGTGTTAAGTAACTGAATGCACATAAATGCACACGAGATGCTCCCTCAGAGCTGCTCTATATAAAATGTTGACACCTAAACTTCTTTCCCAGCCCCTCTGTCCTCATTGCATTGCAAGCTCGTTTGTACCTGGCAGGTCACAGTCAGGGAGTGCTGTGCCTGGGGGAGTCCTCGTCCCGGCTCTCTCCTGCCCATTGCTGTCCACACACCAGCAGTATTCCGTAGAGCTGTGGCACTGCAGGGGCCGGTAACTGCCCCGCTCGTCGCACTGGGGCACAAAGGCGCCCCTGATGGGCGTGGTAGCGAGGGAGCTGAGCAAACCGTCCCTGTGCTGCTCACACTGTGTCCTGGGGCGCTCGGAGGTCGCTGTGGGACACACAGGGTAACAGGCGGGTCACGCCGCAGCAGAACTGACCAGCCACTCTTTCAGCTGACCTGCCAGTCTGAATTGAACTGACCGACACAATCTCCCCACCTCACCCCTTTAACCACTTCCCACTGAACAAGACATGACGGAGACAAAACACGAACTGATGGTACTAATATAACTTATAAGATTCGTTTTTGCCCACTGCTCTGATCAGTACACTACAGTATGACCACAGGAGCACATTGAGTAGTTATGCTTTACAGCATAACCCTGGCAAAACTGAGCTTCCAATTTCTGGTTGAACAAAGATAAAAATAAATAAATTGTTCCCCTTTGGAGACAAAAGTCTCCTCTTAAAGTTTGAAATGTTGAGTACACAACTCCTTTATTACTCATTGAGGAGCAAAACCACATAAAGCAATAAACAAAACAAGGTAAAAAAATACACATTTATATATCAATTCCTTGCATTTATATCGCACTTTTCAACCCAAAGAATCCCAAAACACTTAACATATAGAAGGGGATTCACTTTATTATTCACTTTTATGCTGCTGAAGTGCAGCACCCACATGAGTGAGGGACAGCAGTCCCATTACACCACAGAGCAGATGAGAGAAGAGAGAAATCCTCACTGACGAGCAATGTCATGGGATCTTTTATGATCAAGTAGTTCTCATCAGAAGGCCGAAGGCACCTACTGGTCCATAGACACCACTTAACATCACCAACACATGAGAGGTCTATACTTGTTTTCTATGAAGCACAATGTGAGGTTCAATTTATAAATCCTTGCTTCAACCAACAGGATTCTTATAACAATCTTTATTTTTTTAAATAAATATAATAATAGTTCAGACGTCGGAGCCTGATTTTCAGTGGGTGATCTACCTATTTTGCTTCTTGTAAATATGCCACAGATTAAAGCTAAGAAACCCTATAAAGTACATACTCTAGAAGTTCAAGAGAATCAATTCTATATTTTGCTTTGGATTGGAATGTTTATATAAATGGATGCTGTTTCTTTATTTTCTTCAGTCTCAGTTCTGTTTTCAATGTCAAATAAGATTGTTTTTTTGGAATTGATTTTAAAAACGAAATTCAATCCAATTAAAATATCACATGGCAGCTATGGAAATGGAACATTTCATTTAATCAGGGAGTTGCAGTCTGTTCCAGACAAATAACCTTTTCCAGACAAAGTCAGAGAGAACAAATGCAGTTATAGATTATTAAGCTTGAAACCAAAAGTCAAACAATAAGAAGAACTTAAAGCTGAAGGACGCTGAAGTAATCCACTTTTCAGATTTTCCAGGGCTGTCAGTACTCTTTATGTCCAACAGGGGGCTTTGTCAGTCAAGATGAAACGATTGTCCTTCACAACTTAATGGCTGATAACTAAAGACATTTACGCCTAAGCAAGAGAGGAAGAGCTTAAGGGCTTAATTTCACTGCCACTTGCGTCTCGTCATAACAGATCTGCTGTGGTTTAATGTGTGCAAAAACCATCACAGTTCATCGTATCATTAAGTTAGCGTGGAAAGCACGTGAAGCTCTTTTATATTGAGATCTGAGTTCCTTACAAAATCATACAGCAGAGCATCAACATCCTGTTCGGTGATTTCAAAGCCCTCAAAGGCACTGACGGGGATAAACACTCTTCTTTCAGACCAGAGGAGGAGGAGGCTATGACAGGGGACAATCTGACAAGCTGCTTGTGCATTCAAAGCTTCTTCAGACAACAAGTGTTGAGTGATGGGAGCACATTACCCAGGCATGGGAATTCCTCACATTACACACTGGCTCAGAGGAGCAGGGACGGCCTCGGGGTGTTCTTACCGGTCATACAGTCGACGGGAGGTGTGCCCGGCGGAGTCCGCGTCCCCACCCGCTCCTGGCCGCTGCTGTCGACACACCAGCAGTGTCCCGTGGAGCCGTGGCACTGCAGGGGCCGGTAGTTGCCCTCCTCGTCACACTGGGGCACAAAAGTCCCCACGGAGGGCCGGTGTCCCCGGGGCCTGAGTCCTCCCTGCAGCCCATCCCTGTGCTGCTCGCACTGCGTCTTGGGGCGCACTGTGGGGAGACAGGGTGGGGGGGCATCAGCGAAACACAACACGACTCCACTGCCACCCGGATGAAAATCATTATACTGTGGAGGAACTAGCTGCCAAAGTACTTGCATGTCAGGTGTTTGAAAATGTTTTGTGTCTAAAAAGAGGTAAAAAGAGAAACTCTCTTAAGTCAGGGATTCCCAATCCTAGGTTCTGGGAATCAACACACCTACTGGTTTTCACTGCAGGTGACAGGTTTACTTAATGGATCCTTAACTAAACCAAAACATTGCCTGGTTGGAATCTGTGCAAGTTTATTTCTCCCTCAAAGATTGGAGATCTTAAATCAAATTAAACCTATTATCGGGTCTATGAAAGTGTTCAATTATTTAATGAACTCATCTTATTTAATTCAATTATTTAATTGAGCTGAGATCTGAGTTCCTTACAAAATCATACGGCAGAGCATCAACATCCTGTTTAGTGAGTTCAAAGCGCTCAAAGGCACTGACATGGATAACAGGGAGAACTAAACCCAGCAGGTGTGCATTTCCCCTGAACCAGGATTGGGAAACCTTGGTATTAATGAAGGAAGCTTTTCATTAATGTGTACTAGGAAATTCAGCCATGAGCTCAAAATGTGTGTTTAAATGTCAGCTAACAAATGGTTAATTGAGCTCACATCTCGCATTCCCTCAGCTGGGATGTGGACCTGTAACACCATGTTTCCAAGACAGACTCTCTAGCTGGAGACAATAGATGCCATTTTGCCAGGCTGTCCTGTTGGTCTTGTTCATTTCAAGGACTAAACTAATAAATCCTGGGCTTACTCAAAAAGAAATACATCGCACACTCTGAGGCAGTGAAATAAGCAGTGTCGTCCAAAAACCTTACCAGGATGCAGTATGCACTGGAACCCGTCTCCCTCGTACCCCGAGAGACACTGGCAGTCATAGGAGCCCAGTGTGTTATAGCATATGGCATGGGGGTGACACCGCTGAGTCCTGCACTCATCAATGTCTGTGACAGAAGAAAAATGATCTGGGTTAACCTGTAGGAAACTCTGAAGCTGGACAAGGAGAATGTTTACGTGTAAAAAATGTCCCACTATCACTAACCACTTAGGCAGCTAGGTTAAATACACTTAAACTAATCACACAGGGCTCTTCTGCAAAAAGAAGAAAAGAGTTCAACTTCAGGCTCTTTTCTTGCCCAGTGTCATACAGTGCTGGTCTGACCTCTCCATTTCACCCAGTGCCCACTCTCTCTCCCACACACATTTTCCTTCTGCAGACATTCGAGCCATTGTTTTACAGGCTGTGAAGAGGAAGACCTAACATCTCTGGTAAATTCAATTTAACAAAACTAGACCGTTGGGAAATACTGAGAAACTTTCATCCCAGACGTAAACTGTGTGGAACCACAATTAATAATTTATCTGAAACATTTTTTTTCCAGCTTTTGGAAACTGACTATTACGTTTGTTAATAATTCAAGGTATATCAAGGCTCTATAGTGCTTGGTGTAACAGTCAGCTTCAGTCATGCTGAAATGAATCAGTGACCACATTACAAACATTAAGAAAAAAGCTTCTCAAGACCTTACTGAATGATCTCAATTTCTGATAAAACAATCCCTGTGTTTCATTAACAGTCCTTTCTGTTGATCCTTCAGGTCAAATGCGGGTCATATCAGTCACACCCTAACAAAAGCACGCCCAGCCCCAATCCAGTATACTCTGGTGTATGTATGGGAGGCTGTTTGGAACACACATAAGTGTAGTGCACGAATATATCTGCACTGTGCAGGCCTTTTCTGTTCTTAGGCATTAACAATATTATTCAAATATGTGCAAAGTAGGAAGAGGTCAGTATATTAATATTGGAAATCATGTGGCACACATTTTCAACATTCCTCAAAAAAACTTCACAATAGTAGGCATTTTACAGACTATCATAAAATGCTCATTATCATGAAGTGAGGTACCAAGCTATACAGGCTACCATACTAGTGTTTGTGTCACAGCAGCAACTCTCTAAATGCTAAGACCCTCTGCGATTGGGGCTTTTCATGGTCTAGTTTGTGGCGGAGGTGATTAGACGTGCATTTCGGTCACTTTGTGTCCTTACCAATGCAGGTGCGTTTGTCGAACCCAAACTCATAACCATTCTGGCACTCACAGCGGTGGCTTCCCTGCAGATTGATGCACACAGAGTGAGCGCCACAGCTACTGAGGCCTTCTGTGCACTCGTCAATATCTGCCACAGGAAAGAGAGAGAGAAGGACAGCCTGATTAGGGCAAGGCAAGTTAGGCCTCAGAAGAGGGGCTGAAGAATTCACACACTCAATACAGCAAAAGAAATTCCCAAAACAGTGAGGGAATTCAGAACGTGAGGGAAATTAATCATTTTCAGCTTGGTCAAATGTCTGTATTTCTATCCAATAATAAAAAATTAAAGCATGGACTGCATATCTTTGGGTGACAATGCTAATAGAAAATGATTCTGCACATTCTGCACAGGGACACTGGCTCTGTTTGCTGTAGTAAGTGAGTCTGATACCCCTGGGAACCTGCCCCAGGCCCTGAGCAGGTGATGAAATTACACAGTGTCAAGCCCTGGTAATAGTTTTGGAAATCAGCAAATCAGTTCCAGATTTCTCAGCAGGCTGTGTTTTGAATGAGCAGCTGGTCCAATTACAAGCCTGGTTGAAGGTGAAAGACATTGGGTGAGGATCAGCTTTATAGAAGGTAAGAACTGATTGGAAATAGAGACTCTAGAAATGAGGTGCTAAACCTCTAAGATCATCTTTCTTCAGAAACAGCAACCACAGGTGTCCTCACACCTGAGAGTGAAGCTTTCACAGTTTCTAGCATGTTACTTATAAGTGGTTTTGTCCTTAGCCTTAGTCCCAATACCAGACCACACTGGCTTTCTTAAAAATTCAAAAACACCTCCCATCCTCCATCATTTCCCACACAAAAAACATGAGTTTTAAAATAAGATCACTTTCTCTCAGGATACAAAACAATGTCTCCTTTCAGAAGACTATCAGGTTTTAAATGCAAGTATTTTTGAAGTAACTAATTTTGAAGAGAAGTATTTTACCTCTGACCCCTTTGGTTTACAATGGTAACCAAAGATTTTATCTTCCTCAAAGAGGTGTTAAAATACTCCATTGCTTTTATTGACTATTAGTCCAAGATGCAAAAGAACGATGTATTTTGACACAGATGAAGTTCAGTGTGCTTATGAAACATAAAATGACTAAGCAGCTCGGAGAATTTATCAGCAGAAAAAAACTGAGCCAATACCCAGACAACCAAACCCAAGAAAAGACATGATTCACTTCAGCTATAATGTAATTCAGAATAACCTGATGCTCTATATCACTTGATTCCTTACATGTGTAAGTTGTACTCTCATGTTTTCATGAGAATGAAGAGGAAGCCAGATGTTGAAAGCAATCCAGCTGATTTTGTTTTTGATGTCTAACGGACTCAAGGACTGCGTTTTAGACAAGATAAATATTTCACTTTTTGTCTGCAAAGGTCTGTTTAGCTCATGCATGCAAACCTTCAACGTAAGCAGCTCACGTTAGCGGTTTATCACGTCAAGCTGAATCCAGATAACTACATGAAGTGTCACACTTGCAGTCAACAAACAAATCTATATACCGAAGCAGTTGCGTCCATCTCCTCTGTATCCGGTGGCACACTGGCACTGGTACTGAGTCCCCTCACCCGGTAGGCACTGGGCACTTGTGTCGCATTCATGAGTTCCCTTATAACAGGGATTGACCGGTGTAGGTTCCACTGTCAAGACAAATTACATACCTTATTAAGTAATAAGACAAAAGGAAGAGAAAGCAAACTAGTCTCTAAAGTTTTCTACCTAAATATATACTAAAAGGCATTAAAACACAACCAATATGTATTGGAACCGAAAGCATTTGCTGCATTTTAACGCCTCTCAGCATATACATATTTTAACATTAACATGGTTTTATACCACAGCAACACACCACAGAGGTTCCTTAACTTCTGACACTATCCTCACACAGCAACGTGACAAAAGACACATCTCTAAAGGATACCAGGATGGGAACCATTTGTTCTGGGACTAATTCAGACACACTGAGGTCAGCGCTCCTTAAACAAAGAAGGACAAGGCATCTTTAATTTTCTCAGTGATGACAGGACCTGGGTTTCACGTGTCTCTGGCTGAAGACCTCCGTTGTCGAAAGACTCCTCTGACTCATTGGGTCTTTTGTCTGAGTTATGACTGGTTGAGAGTGGGCTAAGGTATCTGTGTAAACAGTTTTCTTTTTCCCCCAAAAGTGACATATCTAAAGAGTTTTACTCCAAAAAGCATTGGGGAAAAAAAGAAAGAGGGTGCAAGCTGGATTAGAAAATACGGCCTTTAGTTATTAAGCAGAAAATAAAATGTTCAAGCACTGGGTTAAATTGTTTACGCACAGGTTCAAATTTTAGTGAACCAAAGGGAGTTTCTGCAAGGAATGATGTCTCAAGTGGTCTGTCATTTTGCATCCTGGGGTCAAAGCACTTAACCTCCATGTAAACAGAGTTGAAGTGGCTTTAAAATTCAAGACCTCACACCACAGTATAGGAGAGCCTTGATACTGCCTGGGGTTGCATCACCCCAGTGGGAAGATACTAACAGATAAAACATAATTACTCCTGACAGGAGACTCCCTAGCTTTAGCTCTTATTGGGAAGGGGTCAAGAATGGAATAGCTGTACTTCCAACAAATGCTCCCTGGGGCTTCAGAGCTTTATCAAAAGGCTTCTTCTCCTTTAATGAACACAAGGGTCCACACCCCCCATCACCCCCCCTCCCAACTCAGACGCCTCTATCGCACACATTAAACAGTTTGACTTCCTAGCCTAAGGCCATGAACCAATTTACCCAATTATCAAAAGCAGGAGAACTTTTGTTTGAAGTGCAAGAGACAAGTCCCTTTAAAGTGACTTTGTGCTTGTGTGAGTGGTTTTGAGAGAGGCAGGGGGGAGGGGGCTGTGGGAAGATGTACTAAGAAGATGAAAAAGGAAGGCAAAACAGTGTGTTGTAAAGCAGGGAGGGAGCGCTCCCTTTACTTTACATTCAGGACAATTAGACAAGCAGGGGGGCCAACGAGTCAGCAAACAGCTCAGGAGAGGTCAGGAGGTGGAAACACAGAGCTTTGTTCACAGCTCCACAGAACAATGTGCCACACAGTGTAGGAGGACCCAACAAGCTTTAAACACCCATTTGCTGCTAAAATATTGAGTGCTAGACCTTCACACCTTGACAAAAACATGGCTCATGAAAAAGGGGCTTAATTTCCTTTTCACAATTGCGCAGGAACACACCAGGACAATATTGTCTTGAACAGCACAAGACATTCTTGAGTACAAGGCCTTCTTTTGACCTTCCTTTAAAAAACATCCTTTTTCTCAAAAAACATCATTGTCCCCTAAGCACTTGGACACATTTAAGGACAAAGAAGATCCAACAATCACACAATTAACACTTCTACGTAGTCAAGAAAAAAAAATATGTCTACATAATCTAGACAACATTAACCACAAGAATTATAGTTTTAAGCCTTTACTAAACTACAGAAATTAGTCAAAAATATTTATAATATAATAATTCAACTCACTTCACTGTGTATGTAATTTCACTAATGTATTTGTGGCTAATCACATTGTTCAAAGTACTCAGTATATAAATACATTAGTGAAATTAATGATCACATTGTCCCATCTGAAAAATACAACTGTATCCTTACATTAAATGTAGTTTCAGGAATACCTGACATTTAAAACATTGCAAAACAGGGTACCTGTTATTTTAGTCACTTAACCAAAATCTTTTCCCGGTAAAGCCCATCACTGATCAATAATATCCTAACAGAAATAACTTGCTTTCTACATCTCACATCATCAGATTAGATATAAATATGAGCTGTCTGGTACAGTATGTCAAAAATGAGTCTTCTTATTTACTAGCTTTTTAAACTACACTACTATAAAATGAATACCTCTCATTTTTTCTGGCAAAAGACCCTGTCACCTCCATAAGAAAGACCATACAGGAGAAATGTATGCTTTGACTGGGGCTGAATGTTTGAAGTTTGAAAGTTTGCTTAAAAAGATCTCATATTGAATAAGATGGATAAGCAAGAGCTCTGCCAGTTTCATAAAAAGCAAGTAAAAGAATGTCTATATTTTTCTCTCCAAGAAAATCGACTCTAATTCTAAAAAGTTACTAAAATAGACAAGTTAAACTTGTGGCACTTAGAGACACAAAAATTACCATGTCATCAAAAAGGCCAATGGAACATAATAGCACTCTGCAGAAAGATTAAACCAGTGTCAAATTGTATTAAATAGCCTTCTAGACATAAAAGGAAGCCCTCTAATTAAAAGGGGAGACTTCATACATGCACCCCTCAAACTGATTTGGATAAAACCCATTAATCACATTAAGGGGGGAAAAAGACTTCAGCTGGAACTGAGCTGATCGCAACACGATGCCAAATATGCCATGGAAGTGAAGTTTACCTCTATAAAGAAGGAAGTGTATGCGTGTGTAGGGGCTGTATAGTGCAGCAGGCAAAATAGCGTATACACTGTCTATCCCCAACCTCCGCAGCCCAGCTGGTGAGGAGCAGCCCTGGCTGTGTGCAGCTGGCATCTGCAACACATTTAAAGAGTGAAGCCCATGTCGGGGTATAGGCTAGGCTGCCAGCAGCTTTGTTACATTCCCATGACATCACTGGGCAGCTATTCTACCGCCTTCCTAGTAAATCTGTCATCTATGTGATATTGTTTCAGAGTGGTGAGCACAATAACCCCTTCCTACTCCAGTGACCTTACTGCTGCAAAAGTATTCAGGTCAATGGTTCTTTGGGATTAAGTGGCAATGTTGCCTAATTTTATTTGTACGCACATTCTACACTTTTTTAACACAACAGATACCTTCCTGCTTGTGCCTGCAACTTAAAATAGACATATCTCACTTGCTGTTAGTTCTCTCAGTTCGGTGAGTGGTGACGCTAATGGGGACTTCCAATAGGTCTCCAACAGGCTCCATTGTCAGTGAGATGTCCCCCATTCAGATCAGGAGGAAGCTGTGTTAAAAGTTTACTCTTAAAGGTACATCAATTCCCTCTACTGAATTTTAGTCATTTAACTGATGATTGCTAACACAGAATGTAGAAGTGAATTTAATTTTGTGTGTGTGGTAAGTTCATATTTAGTGATATTTATCCACTTACAACTGCCTTGATGTGTTTTTGAATTCAGACCAGAGCCCTTACAAGCCTCGTCTCATTTAATGTTCTTAATCATTTAGAAACTCTCATGAATGTTTCACAGGGAGTTTTAAAGCGTTTACAGAGGACTCCTAATGCAGTTTACTCCTGTAACTTCTATAGGAGTCAAGAGGCTTCAATATTAAAATCCCAGTTAGGAGTATTAAACAAGGCAAAAAACAAAGTGCTGCCCTTGACACATTTCCATCCACGTGAATGAGATTGTATTCCTTGGTATTTCAGGCTTTCAACACATTAATAAGGCAACAATTCCAGACATGAAGCAAGGGGGGAGCTGGCTGAGACAAGCTGCCAAGCTGCCAATTGATGTTGGTAAGGGCCCTCTTTCTTGTGCTATTCATTAGGGACATGGAACACATCCCCCTTTGGGCTTACTGCCTAGTGCTTTCATACAAATCAAGTTGCCAATATTACAAATACAAGATTTATATTATAGTAATTAAACATACTGACAAGCTCTTAAAGAGACCTTCAAGGAGTAATAGCAAAAATTGTTACTGCGCTTTCACAATGAAGTTAAATTTGGATATTTAAAAGCATACATTTACCAAAATCAAAAACCTAACCTTCAGAATATACCTGGAAGAGCCTGATTTTGGGAGAGCAGGTAATGTGTGGGTAAGGTTGTTTGTTGTATGAATATAAGTTAAAAGAAAGGCTTGTTACACTCATTGTCTGTCATCCTGTAGAGATTAAATCCTAGAAAGATTCAATGCCAAAGCTGTCACAGATATGCACAGCTCTATGCCTCTTGCAATACAGTGCTACTTTTCACAACCAGGTTGCAGACATACATAGTAACTCATCAATAAAGAATAATCATGCATTAATAGACACAACAAAAATAAACGTTTCCACACAGACTGCTTCGTGATCCCACTGTTACAGAACAAGAGGTTGGGCTGTAACAAACTGTTGCAGACTCACTCAAGGAGCTAAAAATGATATATGAACTGGGTTGGAACAAAGAAACGTTATTCACAGACTGAAAAGTAGAAAAGAAAAACAACATTTTGACCTGACTTCCTCAGGTGTAGGCTCAACAGCTAAAACATGGTGTTTTTTCTACTTTTCTTACTTGGTCGCTTGCAGCCAACACTCGCTGATGCAAACTTCTTTAAACTGGGATGTTAAACCAAGGCCACAAACTCTGCTCTGTAGCTGATGCCACATCATCTATAATTGCTACCATATCTCAGTAATCACTGGCTCTCCTATTTACGAACACAGCTCTAGGCTGCACACTGCTGATCAGCACTGACACACTGGGTGGGGACCCTCACGGGGACAGCCTACCTCCGAAGGGCCCGATCTGGCTTGTGACGGCGAATCTGAGGGTGTGCTCCTCCTTGGTGTACATGATGAAGACGCGCTCCACCGAGAGCTGCCTCATCGCCGGGCCGCCCTGAGGGCCGTGTCGGCAGTCCCGGTAAGTCACGTTCTGACGCAGCTGGTAGGAGAACGTCTCAGACCCCTGCTCCAAGGACATCACCTTGTACTGATGCACAGAGGAGGATGTCACCACTGGGCAGAGAACAGAGACAGGGGAAACAATTACCAAGCGCTCACGGCCTCATCTGCCACACACGAAGTGCAGGGAATGGCTCTGGAGTGTCTGATTCCAGTCGCTAGCCTTACGATTCCTTCAGGCGCCCAGAAGTTACTGTAAGTCATATAATCGGGTTAAGCTGCAAGACATCCTCATGCAAGCAAGAATATTTTCCTACATAAACAACTCAGTGCAAACATTACGAATGTGAAATTGTACCTAAGAATATAAAAGCTGAAACATGTGGAGGTAGGTGGTTCTATAATAATGCGGTTTAGAACTTCCTACTTACCAAGGATTATTATATGTGCGTTTTTTAAAGTTATATTAAAAATTACAGTTCTTAATCATTAGAAAGCTGGTACAAAATAAATACCAAAGGCCTTGAAGATTACTGATGATCTGAAGTTTTTTATCCGTCTAATTCTTATGCTCTCCTGCTGCCCAACTGTGGACACCATAGTGCACTTCAAGAGTTAAATGTGATCATATTTCCTGGTGCTATCTGCCCGGACATGCAATTAAACCTGCTTTAAAGCACATCAACATCTGATCTTTTCCTCTAAAATGAAAAACAATACCCGAGCAGACACAGTAACAGACACTAAAGATTTATTTTGAGTTTATCCCTGTAGCTAAATCACTGATTCTCATCTCTAAATGATAAAAGAAAATTTTAGTTTTTTTAGAGATAAGCGCCAGATGAGATATACATCTGTGTAAACAGGACACATTCTGTGCAAGGCTACACTGATTAAAGTAAGACAATCCCTTACATAAAGTGCAGGTAGTTCTAGTAATCTGCATTTCTAAATGTACAATTCTTGACACATACCATAGTATTCTACAGGGTGTACTTTTGTTCATACATTGGCTTGGTCCTCCATACCTTTTACTATGGGGTTATTTAAGAAACGGCCTCAAAGTGCATTCCTGAGAGCCCTGACAAGTCACAATAAGCACAATAAGTACAATTCAGCAATAAGGCTTGTAACTGGAGCTCCTTTCAGTACACACTTCAGAAAACATTTCTCCATGATTACCTGGTCTTCTTTACATAAAGGACCCATGTCTCAATGATACTTCTTAATATGCAGTTCTCTACTTCGATTATCACCTCATATTGCAGTAACTTGCTACATCCCAGTACTACTGTTTATAATCCCATGACCCATTTAAACTAGATTTTTGGTTGTAACTCTTTTCATTTTGTGAAGATGTTGTCAGTAATATTCCACCGTGACAGATATTTCTAAATTCAGGACACAATCCTTAGCTCTTGACCAGGTTGTTACTGAAAAGGACAATTGGCTCTGAAACTTTCCTAGCAAATGAAAGTTATAAAACATCACTTCATTATGAAGTGTTCTCATGAATTACGTTCATGGTATTTAAATGCCCGTGACAGTGGTACATGTGAACATCATCCACACAATACTGTACCTGATGGGTGGTAGTGGTAAGTCTCCTTGAAAGGTTCAATCTGTACAGTAGCACCAGGAGGGACAAAGGGTATTTCCCCATTGATACGAGTGTCCACAGTGAGGTAGTTATGGGAGTCCAGCCCCTGGGCCGTCTGGACAATACTGAGACGCTGATTGCCAGGGTAGAAAGTCACTTCAGCATAGCGTGTAAACTCAGCTCCTGTGGGAAAGGGCACACAGCAGTTCTATCATGTGATAAATTCTGGCAGATTCACCTGCACAATTTCTCTAAAGGGGATTTTGTCCATAGAGGTACTGTTTAAAAGCAGACCTCTTGCTGCTAATTAACAGACATGACAGCTTTGACTGGCTGTTTTTTCAACAGGATGCAAGGTCAGGCTGGGGGCTTGGAAATCTCAAGAGGCTGCCACTGATGAGGCCAGCAGCAGGCGAGACAGCCTGCTCAGCTCCTCTCTGCTCACTGTCACAGCAGTGCTATACTGCAGAGAGTCCTCTGGGAAGCAAAGACACACCAAAGCTTTTCAAATAACTTGTTAAAGTGAGCTCACCTGATGCCTGTTATAATGATAGTTTTGTCTAAGAATAAAAAAAATATGAAAAGTTGATGACTATGTAAAATGTAGATAATTACAGTAGATGATACTCTTCATACATTCTCAGAAAGCTTCCTGGTGAGGCACGAGTCTGTAGTCTATCCCAGAAGCTACTGTAGATGTGATACCAGCTTGGATCACATTCCAACACAGGGCACAATTCAGATTAATTAAGCCAGGGTTTCTTTGGAATTGGGGAGAAAACCGACAGACCCAATGAAATTAAGATAACAGCATCATTACAGAAAAGAGATATCACGGTCAGCCTTTCCTCAGGTCCCACGCTTATACCTGTGACACTGAAGCCATTTTCACTGCCCTGCAGCTCCAGGGCAAGGAGCCAGCCAAAAAGCCCCCCGATGGTCGAGAGAGGCATCAGTGCCCAGCCAGCAGGCTCTGGGATCTGGCTGATGGCAGTGTAGGCACGCCCGTCACTCACAACCACATAGGCATGCAAATCCACGCTGCTCAGATCCACTGGAGTGGCACCAACTGACACCTGGCCACTCACCCTGCCATTCACACGTTGAGGGGCTCCTGCAGGACACAGAACAACACCCATAGTTAAAACAATCGGGCAGACAAAAGAAACGCAGGGCCTGAGAGTTCTTGGCTTTCAAAGCTCAACTACCGTTTCACCGTTGGCTGCTCAGTTTTTGAACATTATCATCACCATGTCAGCCATTTTAGCAAATGTTAACAGGCTGGAAGGCAGAAGTGGGGTATACAGAAGTACAGACTCAGAAAGTGCAAAGTGGTGCTACAGTCATTAACAAGCATAGGATTTTTTCTTGCCACAACAAACAAAGCTAACAAAAAATATGAGAACTAGAAATGCAAATTCATAATTCATCTTTTTCAAATCTGCAGTCCTTTCCAATAGCAAATGTATTGTCTTCAAAAGAGCTGTTTGTTTTTTTTTTTACTTATTCATGTCCTGTATTCTCCCTGAAATGATAAGATAAGCTCCCGGGTTGCTGTAATTCAAAATTTTGACAAACGTTTTTCCTTTGGAATGACTGAAATTATAATAATGACATGGCTTACATCTGAGAAGAACCTTGTGCGTTAACATGAAAAAAAACAGTTGTTCAACGTCAACAAGGGCAAATTTACCACAAACCTTACATTTTTGTTAAGTATATAGCTCTACCACATAAGACACGAATGCCAAGACATGTTCCTGGTGTTGTTTATGTGAGGAAGAGTTAAAAGACAGAAGGAAGATGTTAGGATATTAGTTCAGTCTGTGAACAAGGAAATGTGTGCCACATGAAGCAGTCCTCAAGAATCCAGTGCAGTGTCAGTATGAAAGGCTTGTTTTAAAAAAGCATCACAACGTCAAAAGTGTTGATTTGGCAGGAAATAACTGTAGACCATCAACACGATGACGTTCTTCATTGCCTGCCAGGCTGGAATGAAGCCTGAGTGTGCTCAATTTGCAGCAGCTCATCTGTCTGAGCGCTGACTTAAGACTGAAAGATATTAAAAAATGTAAAGCTGTCCAGACTGCAATGAAATTCTGCTGCGAACAGTATTTTTAAAAAATATAGTGGGTTAACATGAATAAAGAAAGTAGGACTTACGGAGATAGGGGACAGAAGATATGGGGTTCAATAAGATTTTTTTTCCTTTTTATTTTAAAATAATATTACTTTATATATTTATAAATGAAATGTTCTTATTGAAGAATATTCTCTTTCGTGTCATTCCAACACCATCTACTATCTAGCTTATAACCTATTCCACACAGAAGTGTCGGCTATGATCTTTGGAAGTCTTCTCCTAAAATAAATGTGTTTTACTGAAGGCTTACTCTATAGAAAAGAGCAATACACGTCTAAGAAACAGAATACAGCAAATAAATGCATAGCACTATGAAACTTGTTTTTATAAAGCACAATTTTACCAAGCAAATAGGCAAAAAAAACAATCCTTAGAATGTTCATTATAGGTTTGTTTACAATATTGTGCTTGAAATAATGAAACTAGTAGAAAATGTGAGGACTAAACTGCAGTAGTAGTTTCAAGGTCTTAGGAAGCAACATTGATTTCAATTTCTAAGTCAATGTCTAAGAATTTTCATTCAACAGGAAAACACACATTTCTAATCCAAAAGGAACATTGAGTCATTAAAATCCAGACTCATGACTCATTATGCAGATTCATATTCATCTTAGGTACAGATGCTTTGGCCACAAAACTTTCTTATGGTATTGCCAGTACTTACCATTGGGCAAACAGTGTCTTCCATTTCCATAGTAACCAGACTGACAGTGGCAGCAGAATCCCGATGAGTAATCAGTGCAATATCCATACTGGGAGCAATGCTGCTGAAATTTAGAACAGGTTTCCTTGTTTTCAGTGCTGTACTCAATTACTGCAGAGAGAGGGTAGAAAGAGCACGGTATTACAGAAAAGGCACACCGTGTGTCAAACTAATGACAATGCAGTTTACAGGGCTATTTATAGCCTTTTTAGAATACAGGCCATGACATGATAACAGAAAATAAACAAACTTAACTAGATATTTTTTACAATTTCTGAAACTGTACATCCTAGGACAAATAAGTCGCAGCACAACTGTCATCATGGTTTTTTGCAAAATATTTGCATTTTTGTGCAGAGTTCTACATAATAAGTACATAGAAAAGTTTATAAACGAGAAGAGTCGATTCAGTCAATCTAGTTTCTTTGGTTGAAGCAACTGATCGATCCAAGAATCTCATTTAACTGTTTCTTGAAAAAAGCTACGATACAAACTTTGATAAGAAATGACGTTATTGTTTTTCAGTAATGAAATGTTTTGGTTTGTTTTTAAGTCACTCCGTGTTGTGTGTAAGTTACATGAAAAATTGACAGACCTTAATTCTTAATATTGGATCTTTCTGGAAGCCTCTTTAATATTTATTATCTAAATTACATACACATAAATTTTTAAAAAAGCTTGAAACCACTTTACATGTAACCTGTGTGACACTAGACCTAGGCTCCTCTGGAAGCTGACACGGGTTCTAGACTATATAGCAGAGAAGCATGTGTGTTCAGTATTATGAGGGGTCCTTGTTATGAGTCGCCCTACTATGCTTTCTCCCCCCTCAAAGGTTGTTGGGGACGTACATAAAATTTCCCTCATTTTAGTATATCATTTTTGATTTGGTGACTTTCATTTTTTTTAAGTCTAGTATCCTGCATTTTGCACAGGTGGTGGTGAACATGAGCAAGGATGACTTGTAATCATATTTTATCTTTGAATCTGCGGAACAATGGGCTACAGGCACAGTGCAAATTATAGTGCAAGGGTTGAATGTAGGCGGTATAGTACTATTGATAATCCTACAATATTAAGCCATATCTCAAGATAATATCATATAAACAAGTGTTTGGTTAAGATAAGTTTGTTTAAAATATTGGCTTGAAATGTTGGTACATTAAAGAGATTGGGAAGTCAAGACAAAAGTGAGTGATAAGAGTAAAAATAGTTTTGAAATGTGCGTACATGTACAGTAATGCACTCTACTGTATTTGGGTAGCTACGTGTAAAACACACACCTAGTCTGTCTCATGGTTCCTAACCCCACTCTATTCTGATGATTCCTATTGGAAAAGGGCCCTTACATTAAGTCGCATATTTAAGTTTCTACTTTCTAGTCCCTAGCTCTTATATATGATACATCAGGGACCACCTGCACTCAGGGCATTAGTGTCTGGACTCTTATCACACACTAGCTGTGAATAGTGGGATCCTACCACTCAGATATTAGATCCAAAAGGGACTATTAAGAGTTAATTTTATTAAGATTTTTGAGCTACTAAGTCCGACTTGTTTTATTATTTACTAACATTAATATTTTTTTCTAACTGCATGCACTTTGCTTCTTCTGTCTGTTCCTCATTCCATTCCTGATTGCTCCCGAAAGTGTCCACTTGACAATACATTGAATTTGCGCAAATAGAAGACTTTTGCCCAGAAAGCAAAATGATTTCTATTAGCGAGACAGATATAATCATATTTCCAGATTGGTACAATATATCCCCGTAGACAGTGGACAATGCAGTCATCATCAGGATTCAAATACAGTATATTGCTCTGTAGCCATTGGAATACAGATTTTCAAATTTCATTACAAAAGGCATGTCAATTATTTGAAAATTCTTGAATTTAACTATGAGGCCAAATATGAAAAAATGGCATTCCTCTAGATATCTGTTTTGTCTTGGCATTGTGACTCCATGTCTGGATATTACATTTCCTGATGACTATAAGCATTTCCCTGTGTGTGCCTCCACTCTGTTTACAATCATTTTAAACTTCCTGGCTGCCCATGTTTTCTCCCCTCTACAGTAAAGCAGACCAAAGACCAACATAAAACACAGACTCCTTCTTTCAAACAATCAACATAAAAAACTCCAGACATATTCATTAGAGTAACACTGTGTAGGCATTGGGAACAGTGCAATGTTTCCCACTTCACAGCGAGACAGACCTTGGTCTGCGAAGTTAGACATTTTATTAGCCACTTCCGAGGACAGGGCTGCTTGAGTAATTAAACAGGGGATTAAGTATCTCATCCTTGTCTAAATTTAGAATGCACCCCCTTATCATTGGGTTTCTGCTCAAAAATTCTAAAAATATGCATTTTAGTTTGTGATTCACAAACAACAATTTTAAATTTGGATAAAAAAAAGAATCTAAATTAATATTTATGCAAGACAGACTTTGCCAAGAACAGTGTTATTTAGGATCTGTAAAAGGAGACATTTGTTGTATTAAAATCTCAGCCTGTGATTCCCAGGCTTTTTATTTATAAATTTAGAGCACCCAACATTGATCTTTTAATAACCTCCCAATTTGGAATTGCTAGTTGTAAATCAATCCAGCTTTATCACTATGGCCTATGTACATGCTTTATACTGAATGGTGTACCGTCAGGGCCATGTACAGTACCATTCAAAAGTCCCGCTGTGCCCAGAGAAGAAATACCATCAACAAGAGGAGGAATGCAACTATTGCTGAACAAGTCAACAAGCTCACAAGCTCTCAACGAGATACAGATTACCCCCTGCTCAACTGAAACCATCTCAGGCAAGAGAGTGCAGAATCGGTTCAAGGAATCCCAGTCACACTCAGAAGTTACCAGAGGTCCTGGGGAGGCACAGAAGAGGACCCAACAGCACCGTAAAAATGTCAAAGGAAAGGCCTTACCCCCACTGTCAAAGTTCACAACTTCATCCACACTGACGACGTGTCCGCCTGGGTTGTGAGGGGGTGTGCTCTCCAGGATGGGGACCACTTCGCCAATGGGATAGACTGACAGCAAGTCCAGCTCAGCGGGGGCAGGCTGGGAGGTGGACGGCTCAGGCGCCTTGCCGTCTTCAGAAGGAAGATTTCTGAGCTGGGGATTTGCCCTGGGACGGGAAGCTCTAGACAGGGAAGCTTGGGTGGCAGGGACTTCCATCCGAGGGGGCTCTGTTTGAAGGTCGGTGTTGGAGGCCTCTGGATATAGACGGTCGAGCTCTGAGTCAGGCCCGTTTTCGGCCACGGAATAAGGGGGCGGCTGCACAGAAGCAGGGCCCAGCTCTTGGGTCCCGGGATAGGAGGGAAGAAGGACTGTCGGCTTTTTTGAAGCCAGGTCAGGAAGGTCTGTGGTTGGATACTCAAGGTCTGTTTCACCTTCATAGTCCTCCTCGGGGTAATCCTCTTCAGGATAGTCTGGCTCAGGCTGCAGGGGACCATTGGAGGCACTCTCCAGAGCTGGGGCCACGGGGCCATGCTCGGCATGAACTCCCCCAGCCACTGCAGGCACAACATTGGGCAGAGTGAAACTGCTCCCCATGTGGAAGAGCCAAAGCCCTGGAACACCTGAGTTTCCCACCCTGCAGAATCGGAAAGTAACAGCATTGAGATCATGTCTGTGGGCAAGCAGTACCACCAAGAACACGTCTGCTGTGAACAATAAAAGTAATATGACACTAGCGTTCATCAACGAAGAAGTGTAGAAATTAAACCACAGAGTAAAAGCCCACAACTGTCCAAACAGCACAAAAGAAAATTCAATCGACAGTATTTTTTTACTACAGCTTTACTATTCGGATTCTATGGGGAAGTTAGGGTGCAAGACAGTCAAATCTGCAGGTCAGTCAAGGTTTAAATGCATTATCACATAATCAATATTACTAACCTTTCACACAATTATACATAAGCCCAAATGTATGCAAGTAAAAAATTCTTATTAAAGTAAATTCACACTAATAGCTTTATTATTATTATTTCAGTACTGTAAAAAATACAAAAGTACACTATTACTTATTATTATTATTATTTATTATTTATTATTATTACAGCATACTCTACGGTACTCTAAAAATTAAAGTGTAATTCAAGCGCGCTGAAAAATACTGACAGCAACAGAAGATGCAACTTGAAATTAAGGGTAGAACTGGACATTTTCCAAATATTTTGTATTTCCCAGGTGGTAAAAAGGATTTTATATTGGCTTATGGAGAAAATGCCAGTCAGCAGCAATTCCAGCAACTAAAGGCCAGAATTTAGAAGAAAGATTGTCCTGTACTTAATTTATCATTTTAATTCTTTCCACAAACTAAAAGCTTCAAAAAAGAGCCTCAACTCAAAACAATTCTGCTTTTGATGAAAACGTGGCCTTTGAAAATTTGCGTCTATCTTTGCCAATATGCTTCTGCTGGTTCCAAAACCGTTTACTTACTGATAAAGGTCCTTGACAGTCTGTTCTGTGCTGGTGACACTGTAGTAAGGCCCCTCCGTGCGTGAGAATATCAGGTAGGTAATTTCTCCCCTGCTGAAGCCCACACGGGCAGGCAGCTCCAGATGGACATTGTAAGACTCTTTGGGACGGGTGCCAAAGAACTGGAGCCCATCCTCAGGGTAGAGGAACAGTGCATACGTGTTGGTCTCATCATATGCAAGCACTGCCTGGAAAGTGTTCACCTAAACATGGGAAACCACATGTCAACATACACTGTACAGTAAGTTACACTTGAAGCCATGCTAACTATGGTAGCCATGATAACAGAGAGAACTATTTTGAAGCTGAATGGTTCTGAAGTATTGGAAGTAGATGTTGTACGGTTCATAGTCAAGCAGTAGACTCTCAAAATAATACCAGAATAATGAAAATTCAAGCCCTAAAGATCACAATAGTAACCACTCATCGATTTGTAAGTAAATAGGAGCACGCGCCTCAGATTATGACTATTCATCACAGAAAAACCAGAAATTAATCAAAATGCAGATTATCTTCGCAGGTAATAAGAAATCATCTTAACAGCATTTCTTAGGAATCTGCTGAATGGTAACAGATGTAAGTTTATGCAACTAAAATAATTTGATCTCAATATTCTACAAAATGTAAAGGAGCACTGCAGATGAAGTTTATGCAGTTACTTAGAAGTAAGAGAAACAGTAACACAGAGTCTCCTGTTAACTGCATTCTAGATGACAGCATTTCAGCATGTACACAGAGTTCCCTCACTGCAGACTGTGTCCCCCACCTACAGGTTATCAAACTTCATTTAAACAGAAAAGGTACTGGGATTATTCAGAACCTAACCTGGATAGTGAATATTTTCTGAAGTGATATGTTTTGTTTTTCATTTTTACTAGTCTGGTGTGTAGGTCTAACAGTTGAAACTTTGTTGTTGATGGATTTTTATCTTCTTTTATCTGAGGTTAACAGAAGGGTCACCATAGCCACTCAAACAGGCGGCCTTCATTGACATTTTGACCAAGTTTAGGGAGAATGACTTTTGCAATAGTTGATTTGACATCGGATGCTTGTGCAAATGGCTCTCTTTTCCTCAAAGAGAGACTCAATTTGTGTTGCCTCTCCTCCAGTGGAAACCCCTCCATATTGTTGTCCCCCAGCGGGAGAGCAGCATCTGGCCAGGACTGGATAGAAAACCGCACGTCAAATTCCACAGATCTGAACCCCGAGCTCTCATCAGAAAACCACACTGCCTCCAAGCAATGTTCAAGCACGTCTATAAACAAGATTGCTTAAAGATGTTATTCTAAACAATTAGGCACCCACACGTGGCTGAGAACAGATGGCTCTGGCTGAGGTTGACAGTTTTTGCAAGTTGTCTGATGGCATGGCGTACCTCTGAAACCGGGAGCACAGCAGGTTGAAGGCTAGCTTTGGAAAAAATGCAAAAACAAACCTGCTGGTTTAATCTTAAAGAGTTTGTATAATTGCCAACTCCCTCTAATATCTCTACCTTGAAGCAGTGGGAAGGTGGGTGGTTGGGGAAGTTATGTTATCTGCAGCAGGAAGTGATGAAGAAGTTATGAAACTATGCAACAGAGATAGTAGAGAAAAATCTGCTATCAAATCTCTTGATGCCACAAGATGGGCACTGAGTAATGCAAAACATTAACACAGTAATAAACCTGAACAAGACTGAAACAGATACGGACTCAATAACAGAATATTGCCTGAAGGAGGAATAGCTGTAGATACTTTATATCCATAAAGCAAACTCATTACTGTCTTCCAGTTTGAATACAGATGGCTCATTTCATAGAAATGAAAAAAAAAAACTTTAAAAAAAGGTTAAAAATGAGAAGGCTTCACGTATTTAATTTGTTTGGTTATTAATGTGAGTGCCGTCAGTGTTTCCTTAATGGCCTATGAATTTTAATCTCGTTTCATTATGTTTGATTTTTAGAATATCATCAGGCCATGGAGATTTACAGTATATTACATTCACCTATTGACTCCTAACACTCATGCCTATTCTATGTTGAAAATATTTAATTCAGGTACATTCCTTAGAATGAGGCCTGCTGCTAGTTACTTCCTTACTATGTTTCTCTGTGTTTTTGAATTGTGCAGCATTAGAAATACATACAGTATTAGTGAAAATACATAGCATATTATCTTATATTACTAATACCTTGCATGTGAACAATTGGTAATTGTCAGTCTACCTCATCAAGTCCTCTACTTTTCTGTCAATCTTAATGCACTGCTATTAATACTGAAAATACAGAGACGTGCTCATATTAAATTGGTCTCATACAATCGAACATGAAAACTTTCTCCAACACAGCCATCTTATCCCTCAGCTGAACAGAAAATAATAATTTTATCTGTTCGTTCAAAGCAGGCTCAAGTAGGGACCTGTGTGAGTGTGAAAACTGCAAAAGAACAAGTAGAGTTTATTTGTACACCAAAAAGTAGAAAGAAATTTTGGCTGTGGGGTCAGGTGTGAGCCTTTTTCTTTTTTATTCAACCAGCGTATGATGACCATCCCTAAAATCAATTTTTAAGACTGTACAGAAAAGCTGTAACAACTTGTGTTGATTAAAAGTCTTACTCATAAAACACTTTTACACACAAACGTTTTTTCTCTTTTATGTATTTGTGTATTCATTCACCATTCCTCACATACTAAGTCTGCTCTAATCATTTTCTTGTGATGCCCCACAATTCAGGAAGTTTAAGTTATAAGTTCTTTACCTGAAAGAAGTGCTAAATTGATCCAATTAAAGTTTAATTTAACCAATTTATCCTTTCACCATGGCACTGGGCTCTTGACAATTTAATGACATAGAAAACCTGCGTGATTTCAGATCTTCCTAACCAGACTTGGGAACACCTGTGTCATCTCAACAGCTGCAATAAGTATTTAATGTGGGGTTACAGATGTTTCACATGGATAAATCTCAGACATTTAAAACAAGAGAAGTGCTTACTTACTGTGTAAACACTGTGTTTATCCTTCTGCATTTTAGCATTTTTTCCAATAAATCTGAGATTTTCAGTTATTGGACATACTTTTACTCATAAGATATGACTTGTGTGCCCTAATTTGTTGAAATGTCTTTAATGTTTGAAGGTCTCAAAGAATCAGATTAAGAACAGAACTCAATTTTTGCTATGGGCACCAGGCTGCAGCTGTACACTAGGTTTCTATGTAGAACACAGAACTTTCTTTCAGCACTATTTTCCCCAAAGACTTGATGCTTAAATAATGCAATATTATACTACAGCAGTACTGCTCAAAAATGTATATAGCATAAACATGAATTTTGGCATTTCCATGCTAAAAACAATTCTATAGGATGTGAATTCTATAAATTGAAATGCAGATATTTTTTAATCACATGTATGCACAATACAGAATGTACACAAGACACCAATTAGAAGGAGTGAATTGATGATTCACTAGCGAAGTTCTACTTACATGATGGCTATTCAGATTGTTTTAAATCTGTTTGTGAGCAAGAGAGAAGCTTTTTTAATGTGGCTGACTGATGCATCCTAATGCGTCCTTTAAGCGAACTACTGCTGTCTCCTCTCTCTCTCAGCAATACACCTGACCCTTGTTGTTTTAACAAGCAGTATGGTATCTGGCCGCTGTATTTGTGGAGCAAATATTTATTCTAAGCCTAAAAGAGTAACTTGATGAACATGGCGACCATACCCTGTTGGAAGGCTCAGAGTTACGGGTCAGCTCCTCGTAAAGGCCTACGTTCTCCCAGGTGGCGATAACGGCGTGGGTGGGTGTGAAGTTGCTGTCTGGAAACCCTCTCTTGACCTCCTCTCCAGCCCGCAGTAAGACGCTGGGGGACTCGTCCAGTCGGTAAAAGACTGTGCCTTTCCCCTTGCTGGTGTCGATATCAGCCAGGAAGGGTGCAATGACTGGGAAGTCCGTGGGAAAGCCGTCGTCCACATACTGTGTCTCCCGGGGAAGATCCTGAGCTGAGATGATTCCATTGGTGGCCACCTGAAAAGGAGATCAAATGCCAGCCAAACAAGATGTTAATTTTGACAAACAAAGTACCTATCTGAACACATTTGTTCTGCGTTTTGATAAGCTTTTTGTGTTTTTGAGGAAAATCGCATAGGGGAGGTCTGTTGACCTAGTTAACCTATTGTTAATTAATGTAACTAATCTAGTGTTTGTTCATTTGTTTCCTGATCCATACTGTATGATTCAGATAGTATTGGTTTTCCTAGAAGATTTTACCTCTTAGTCTTGGTATATTCCCCCTTATTCCAGTTAAGGAATCTGAAACTTCAGCTGCTCAGTGACTTGCTCACTGTTGTTAACTAATTAGTTCTCACAGCTTGATAGTTTAAACAAACTGTGAGATTTTTTTCCAGTTTAGGATGAGGTTACAAACGTAAGAAAAACAACTGGAAGATGACAGAATTAAGTACTTCACTGCCATTTAGGGAGTCTAATTGTAACTATTCAGTTGGACATTTGGCATAGCTCCAATCCCTTAACTCATGAGAATTGTGTCTAATGCACATGAATAATTATTTTAACATGCAATATATTGTGCAAGGAAAGATAAATGGTTGGCAAAGTCTGTTCATAGCAGTACTTAAATGTAAATGAGCCTCTTTGCTTCTCTTCTGAACAGAACTAAACATTTACATATTGAAAATGATTAATTTCTGATACAAAAGTGAATATACAGTAAATTTAAGTTTTGTTGTATCATGTAGTAGTAGCAGAATAGTTTCACACAGGTACATTTCGCTTTATTGTAAATGAGATAATGAATATCGTTGCCGTCTTGGTTGAACAGCCTCTTAAAGAATCATACATGAAATCATTATTTTCAGTTCACATTATTTGCTTCAAAACCAGCTTTGCAACTTACAGCATAGAAAAATCTATGCATACCCAAACAACAAACATTAAACATTACTGCACCAGTTAAAAAAAAGAAAACCAGCACTGTGTTTTATACATACTTTAGATTCTGATAAAGCTTGCTTACTAAAGGAAAATTGTGTATTTTATTAATGTTATTCGTTGCAATTGACATTTTTCCAGTGATTTGCAAATACCGACCCTTATCATAAAGTCCTTAATTCAAACTTTACTCCCGATGCTGGAATAGTGGAAAATGAATGAATAACTGTACCGACTTACATAGAGTTCGCTGAACTGTGCCTCGTAAAAAAACATGGGCTTCTTCAGTCTGAGTACTTCGGATGTTTCATCGTCCCCCTCTTGAAGAATCAAATCGCCACTTTGTGTCCCATAGGGAAAAAGGTCTGTCCTTTGAATCGCAGATGCAATATACACAGTCCACGACAGCTTTAAGAAGAAAACTGTCAAAACTTTGTCCCACATTTTAATTTCGAGATTAAAACAAAAAATGTTGCATTGATCTGGATAAAATTCACTGAATGAAAGAGATGGGGGCGTTAAAAATGCCACCGGGGAGTGAAGACAAACAGTTGCAGTGATTTTCCTTAATTTCTATAGCCAAATGCAGGAATTTCAGACCAGATCAACTTCTACCTCTGACCCAAACTTAACTAGAAAGTAAATGGGAGGGTTTAAAAAGAGCAAAGAGAGATCTCATTGGCTGTGCTCTTTTTAACTGACAAGACACTGGGCACCATCTGTTTTCCATTAAAAACTTTTTTTTTAGAAGTCAAACCCACAAAAGAGTTTCTCATAGCCTTCTCGCCCTGCCTTTTAACAGGAATGATTCCATTAGTATACAGCCTGTATGACTGCTTATACTTTTTAAATAATTCTTAAGTTTACCCCGCCCAGCAGTTTACAGATGGCTGTGAGGTTTGTGGATTTTCCTAAATTATAGTTAAATTCACCCAAACTGCGTTTCGTGTGGATTAACACGTACACGCAGATTCTGGTATTCCGTTCAATTATACTTCTGTGTTAACCTGATATGACCCTTAAAGAGGTTTTATATTTATAGGCTACAAAAGGGTCAAGAGCTTATGATTAGGTAGATCAGGGGAAAAGAAAGCGTGGACTCTTAATATTTACTGCTACAGGCACAAAACACTGTCAAATACCACATCGTTTTCTCAAGAAAATAAGTGAAACATGCGACTGAGTAGCCCGTTTCACAAAACCTGATATTCCACAAAGAAAAAAAATGCAAAAGAAGTGAAGGTTTCGGCGTTTAAACACGCTAATAACATTTAAAAATGTGGTTTCCTTGCATCTGGCCAAATTTGAAAATGTTCTACCATTGGAGTCGGGCATGCAAGACTTTCTTAGCCATAAAAGGCGTTATATGACTCGTCTGTGTTTTAGTATTGACCATTTTTTGTTTTCTGTTTCTCTCATTCCAAAACGATTGCACCCTACCTTTTAGGGGGGTGGGGGTTAGGGAATTGCGAAGTGACAAAAAAAAAAACAGCCCCCTAAGGATGTGTCCGAGCATGAGGGAGATGTCCTGCCGGTTGGTCTCCGGCTCCATCTGCACTGTCAGCCCCCCAACACGTGGCCTATAATGACTGGCGTCGCTCTTTCTTCAGTGCCGCGTAGCGCTCATGTATTTGGATTTACTCATAAGTCACGGACGCTTTCGGTTTTAAAATCAACACAGCGTTATAATCGATTAGAATCAAGTTACTTCCATTCGAAGAAAATGATTAAGCCAGACGCCGCTAATTTCCAGTCCCAGATGGACATTATGCCTAAACCAGGGAAAAGTAAATATGAAAATTATCAAAATATTAGAGTTTAGTTCATAGGCATATTTAGCAATATCAATGTTTTGTACGTGCAGTTAGCGGGAACCACTGGTAAAATGGCTTTGAAATATTTCTATACACGACTGTAGCTATATGCAAAAATTGAGGGCTGAAGGTCTGTTCTTCAGGAGGCTATAATATCAGGAGAAAACCTTAAAAGCGTAGTCTTTTAACACCTTCTGCTACAGCTGTTGCTAGTCTCTTGTGCGCGATTTGTCCAGGGGTTTTCGTGGACTTACTTTAAAGAAACACAGGAATGTCCCGAATGGCTATATTTTGGAAGCGCGTTTCTTCTGTGTATTCTAAACAATTATATTATTTGTATTCCCCGAGTGCTTCTGCAAAATGATATCTCGGATCTTGGCCTCTCGCAGCTGCAGAGATGGATCTGACTTGGTTGACTGGTCTCACGGCCTCTAAAAAGATATTGGCGCAGCAATACCGGGCTCCCCTGGCATTTATTGGGTGCTGTCCAATCTTAATAACTATGACCTGCGAGGCTCGGAGTGGGGAGGCGGACCCCATCAAGTCCTTATTTTATATAGCCTCTGTCGAACACTAAGGGAAGCGTGTTTTATATCATTCTGTTTTGGTCCCATTTTGTTCCGTTGAAACTTGAAAATTCAGAAAGAAAAACCTTTCAAATACTTCTCTCCAGCTGTTCAATGCGATGCGAATAGACAGATAAGATGCATTTTAGTAGGCTAAAGTTTGAAAATCATTCAAAAATGAGCTGAACTCTTCTTCAGACGTTGCCCTATCAATTTTGTTTGCGATGGGATAAGACATTGATTTCCAATGGGAGTGAAAACAATTTAAGGATAGCCTCAGTCTACTAACGTACAATTTTTAATAAGTAACCAACTTTGTATCTTTAACATTTTTAACTGAATCCCTTGCACACAGACTCCCGCACTTATCTCTTAAACCTCTGTAGGTTTAAGTACGTGACAACATCTGCATCGGCTCAAAATACGTGCTGCCGGGGCGGTATGTGTGAAATACTGTTCCACGTAGGACAAACATGAATCTTAAGAACACTTTATCAACACCAACCAAGGAAACTGGACTATGAAAAAAGGGTGTCCTTTGGGATTCCCGCTGCATATTTCGTCAAAGCATACTGCTCGCTCAATGGGCTGCTGGTCGTTCGTACCCGGTAGTAAGAGTGACAAAGGTTTCACAGGCGCCCACAGTGCCTTTCATTTCGCAAAGAAGCTAGATAGGTGCAGAGGGCATTCGGACAGTCTTGCTCGGTTTGGTTGCTAGATAAGCACCCGGCTGCTTTGAAAAAATCCAGGGTATTAGTTTCAACGTCATGGCACGGAGTGGCTGTGACCCAGACCATGGCCATGTTCCACAACCCCTAAAAGCACTTCTTTGTAGATAAGGGGATCATTCAAATCAAACATGAATGCGGATAATATTCCTTGTTGTTGAAAAACAGACTTTTAAAGAAAGCCGAAAATCTTCCCCAAGTAGATCCAATCCAAAGCCATTTTTCACTTTCACGTTTATATTTCATCTTTGAGAACTTACATGGGTGCAGTGTATTGGAAGAACATTCGAAACGTAATACAGAAAGTAAAGAGCACGCACGCAAGGAGACCTTCCAAATGAGCTCAAATCGTGATCTGTTCGCCTGCTTTTCCGAAAACTGTTTGAAATAACGGTTTAACAAAACTAATGGTACGTGAGGGGAACTTGTCTTTCAAAATACTGTACTTGAGTGCCCTCTGTTGGCTTAACATAATCATTGCATTCAGGTACAAAAAAACCCAAACATGGATGAGAACGCATGTGTCCCTTTCAGTTCAGTTTATTTGTCATATGCACAGGTGCAATTAAATGCTTATTGCACGTGTGCTCCAATAGAAAGACATCATAGGGATCACCAAAAACACAAACATAGAACAACAGAAGCAATAACAATAAGTTAAATAACACACAACTTAAAAAAATGACGAACAGTGTATCCTTCCTTTCATCCATTAATTTTCTCCCTGCTTTATCAATATAAGGATGCGGGGAATCCCAGAAAGAAACAGGAGAAAGGCTGGCTACACCTTGGACGGTGCGGCGGTTTATTGTAGGTCACACACGGACACTCACCCCAGGGCCAGTTTTCCGAGGTGCTAATTAATTTACCAGTGTGTTTTGGACAGCCGGAGGAAACCGGAACACCCAGAGAAAACTCCACGCAGATAGCATCCCAAAACTTGAACCCAGGGCCCCTTCGCTGCGCAGGGAGGAAATCTAACCACTGCGCAACTGTGCAGCCTCCGCGTAGAGCCATTCCGTGTCCGAATGAACTGGAGAAGTCTGCAATGTACGTGACTTGGCCCGCTGCCGTAATTCGGTGACTCCTGAGCTCTAATGTCAATTCGTGTCTGGCCAATAGCTTCCCCCAATTTATTTGTTTCACGGGATGGGGGATTCGTACAGAGCGCACTATGAGGTATTAGATTTAATACACTCGCTAATAAACGTTTCAGAAGACTGCGCCAAGGTAATCGAGAACGGTTTTCGTTATTTAGAAAAACCTTGATTTTGATTAGATACATTTTTTGGCAACTGATTTTTGTAATAGACTGCTGGAAGTATTGAATCAATACCAGATAGACTGTGTTAACAAGAACAAAATACAACATCTGTATTGTTGCACATTGGTGGTGGTGGAGGGGAGTCCCCATTACCTGTAAAGCGCTTTGAGTGGAGTGTCCAGAAAAGTGCTATATAAGTTTAAGC